TTTGTCGATGAAGCTGTTTCACCAGTAGACAGGATGGCTGCTTATTTACTTTTAAAAGTCCCTTGACTGTTTTTAATTAGGATAAGGAATAAAATACCTACTGCTTGCACACCGAACGTTTTCTTGCACCCGTTTCAAACTTTTGCTATATTTAACAAAACAAGCGTCCTAATAGGCTTCAAAAGTTAAAGGTTATTAAAAATAAGCTCGATAAGTATTTTAAATTTTGAAATGCCTCTAAAATTCGTTTTTATTACTGAAATTTTATACGTATTGATTTTAAGGCGATTTATAGTTTAGCTAAAAATAGTTCCAATTCAGATTTACGGGCCGCAACAGATACAGCTTTAGAAATATTCATATTTACACCGTCAACTTAATTACTGCAAACCCGTGACTTTTAAAAAGCAATAGTATTGCACAGCTAAGTTGAATCAGTCACCCACGCGCCATGAGAATTGAAATGAAATTGCCTTAAGACGCTTCTTTCTCCACATATACATAATATCTATATATACCATATATATGTTTTCATGATTGAATATTTAAAAGACACTGGGCGTATTTTTACAGCTCTTTTCACTGCATGGATTTAGTTTCATTTTCTGCCGTTGTATTTCATATATTTAAGAACGATACGTGGTAAGCAGAATGCATACTGCTCCCCTGATGCTAGGCTAAGTTTCTAACTGCTTGGAATCCTTCATAACTTTCTGCATATTTGCTAAATGTGTGACTAATATATAAAAACGTTAAAATTAGTCTGCCCTCCGGCTCCGCTAGTGGTCTTCTTCGCGATGCCGCTGTCTCCTAGGGCAGCACGGGCATCTAGCCGATATCAGTAGCCGTATTTGTCCTGCCACGAGGTCATCACGTCGTTGGCCAGATTGCTTAGTCGACCAGCCACTTTGTGCACGCCTTGGCGCACGCTCTCCTTTACGCTCTCCACATCCAAGTCAGGAGCACTGAAATTTACCGATGACGAGTAGCCACCGCCTGCAAAAGTACAATTCTCAATCTGCGTCCCAGACGAAAGAAACTCAAGTGTGACTCACCCCTAGTGCCAGCACTGCTGCCCGGAGTGCCGTCGCCGAAATAGTCCGACGATGATATGGCTCGCGATCCCTGGAAGCGGTTTAGGCTAGCGCTAATGTCAGCTGGTGACTGTTCGCTGGCGAAGTACTGGTCGGAGCCGAAGCCCTTGGAGTTGCCGAACTTTTGCTGGGCGATCACGGGATCATTGCTGACAGGGCCTTTACTTTTTCCAGTTGATTTCGTGGCGGTTGTGGCAGTAAATCCACTGCTAGATCCGCTCTTTCCCGGAGCCGACGCCTTGGTGTTGTCATAGGCATTGCTGGTGGCGAACATAGACGTTATGTTGCTGTGGGTGCCGCCAATGGGCTCTATTGTCTCGTAGCCCAGTGAATCCAGTTCAAACTTATCCAGCTTGCTGGATCCGTTAGCGGAGCTTTCTCGCTTCTCGCTGGAACCAACTGCCCCACCGCTGCTGCTGTTTCCATACAGGGAATAGTCGGTGAAAAAGTTGTCGTTCTCCAGGGCGGAAAGCTTGCTCTTAGGGGCCGCCGTTTGCTGTATGGTCTCCATGTCGGCAATGGCTGAATGGGCCACGTCTGAGCCACGCAGGCTAAAGCCCATGCCCAGGCGCTCCATCTGCTTGGCCTTGGCTGGATCCATGTTTTTCAGCTTGGCTTCCTCACGAGTCTTCTGCAAAGAGAGCTCCTGGTACGCTAGTCGCATGCTGGCCACCGTCTCCAGCTCCTCCTCGGCCGTCTGCGGTTTGTCCGCGGGCACTGCCTGGGCGATAGATGTCTTCATCTCGTTGGCAGCGTTTGCACGTGCTTCGATGTCTGCGAAGTTGGTCTTCACCTTGGTAGCTCCCAGGCCTCCAACTTTACGAGCACCCAGCTAAAAGGTTAAGCAACAAATCGTTATAGATGGTCTGGGTTGTTATGCAGCATAGAAACGTACTCCTCCCTTCTTGGGCTGAATCTTGCGAACCCCAATTGAAGATGGAACTGTTGGGGCCGCGACCGAATTGAGCAGATCTACGCTGGGGGCACCTCCACACAACTGTGCCTCTAAGTCGGCAACTGGAGCAGCGGTTGTCGGCTTTCGATCAGGCTGGAAATAAATGAAAACGTCAGTCCTATCCTGGTCCTGGGCGTCCGGAAAAATCAAGAGAACTTTGAAGGCAAGCGGGTGCGTGTGCGTCCTCCTACCTGGCTGAAGTTGTTGTTCTCCACATTGAAGTTATCCTCGCTGTCGCACTGTGCAAAGAAGTCCTCTTCCTTGGCGGCCTCGTTGCCTTCGCTCTTGTCTAAATGCTCCAGATGCAGCTGTATTGTATTGGACATGGCGGGGGTCGAATTGGAGATTGGAAATCAGGAGTGGGTGGCAAGCAGGTTGGGTAAGCAGAAGTCGGGGCAGCAAAGCAAATGTTAATTAAGTTGTTCGGTCTATAGATCTCCATGCAAGAGCATAAGTATGTAACGGGTAACTCAACTTCATCATTTTTGTATCCCTTTTTCAGACATACAATAAGAAGAATACAAAGCTCACCTTGTTGCTGTGCACCTTCATGGCCTGCTGGGCCTGAGCTACCAGCTTGTCCCGGTAGAGCTGCGCCGCCCGCGAATTGTACTTGACTTGGGCGTCTGTGCTGCTGCAGTTGTGCGCCCGGAAGAACTGTGCCGCGTTCGCATTGCCGCCCAACTGCATCTGGCGCAACTGCAGCCATGTCCAGTTAGTGTCCAGATTGGTGCTCCGCACAAAGGTCAAGTGCACGCCCAGATTGCGGTGAACTGCCGAGCAGTCGATACAAATGAAGATGCCATAGGTAACCGATGACCAGGTCGGAGCCTTGGCCGCGCAGTCGAAGCAGGACTAAACGTCGGAACGGCGCAAAGTTGAACAAAGTAGGATTAGCATTGGAGGCCCAAGAGCAAACAGTTCCAAACGTGGCACTCACTTTGTTGGCTGGCTGGGAGCGCAGGCGACTGAAGACGGACTCGATCTCCTGCTTGGTTGGGGCAGCAGCTGCGGTGGCCATAACGAATCGTTGGATCTGATCGGAGTGGCTGGTACAAGGCACTAAAACGGGGGACGTTTATTTATGTATCTTTAACGCGCTTGTTTTGCACTTGACAAAATACTGGCCACAATACCAGAAAAAAAGTCTATTTTTTTTCAGAACGTACGTGGAAGTGTTGTCAAAACATCGATGTTGCTATCGATAACATCGATGTTTTTTAAGTTGACGATACACCGATGTACATCAAGAACTATCGATAACTTCAAAAAGTCGGCGCTACCTTGAATGAAATGTCTCGATCTTACTATACAAGCATAAAATAAATATCCTTTCGAAAAGTTCAGAGCGAAATTGCTACATATTTATAATATGCTAATATTTTAAAGAAATGGCAGAAAAAGGATCACAAAGGGAATATTAATTCAAAGTTGTTCTTATTTTTCTCTGCGCTAGGTTTTTTATATAAATTTTTGCTGCTTTTAGAAAATTTATCTTCTGTTAGTACCAGCTTATAGGAACATGTATAATAATATATTACATTAATATTAATACTGGCATGACACTGCCGCATTAATTAGAGACTTCATTAAAGATTTGACAGCGCTATAGAGTTTTACACAAGTGCGAGCAAGACGACTATATGGCGCTCTAATGCATTAGAATAATGCATTAGCTACTTCATTGGCGCGATAATCGATAGATCTACATATTATATACTCGATAACAAAATACGGGTTTAATGAAGAAAATTGTAATTGAAAAATGTATTAGCCAGTTCATTGACAGTATGGTCTCACAATGAGAATTTTATTTTTATATCATTTCGCTTGTTTTTTGAACTGAAAATATATTAGAAAATTAGCAAAAATAATATGTTTTGCGGTAGCAAGGTTCTTGCGCTGTAAAATTAATTAAAATTATTTTTTTTGTAATAATTTTAAAAAATTTAAGCATTATAGGTTAAAAACACAAATTTAAAGGATTCTGCATTTATTTATGCAAGAATACTTCGACGAGGAATTCAGAAATTCATAATAATACGTCGCGAATGGCGGCCGTTTTTTTTGTTTACCTTTTACGGTCGGTGTGACCGTAGTCGTATTACCAAAATAATCCAAGCAAAATCCAACCAAAATGACAATATAGTTGACTCTTTCAAGGTTTTAATGAAGTAGCTAATTAATGAAAACTGCATTACAGTATCATATGGGCATAATCATAATAATTAAAGATTATTTAGGATAATACAAAAGGTTATTTCCGTGTATTTTGACTGTGTTTTGGTTGATAGTTTAGCGTCCGACTGAAAATATCGGATAACTATCGTGACACATCGTCGATATTTTCAGTAAAACAGTCATTCTGTCCTATAGAGAATTCCCTGATGGATATCCCTTTTGTATTCCCCTATATAATCTTTAATATTTTGAAACTACGGGACATTTAACAATTCAAAACGACTATATGACTAAACAACTGAAAATATCGGCGATGTATCGCGATAGTCAGCTGATATTTTCAGACGCAAAGGGAACAACACAAAAACTGAGCCGTTTTAATTTAACAAAAAAAATCGTAGTTGCAAGACAAGAATTAACATTTTGTATTCTCCCATATAATCTTTAATTATTTTAAACTAATAGATCTTTAATTTACTAAAACTATTTAGCCATTCTGGCTTTTCTGTCATTCAGTCGATATTTTCAGCGACATTTGAGTCGCTAAATGATATAAAATATCGTATAAGCAGTTTCTATTGGATAATTTGTTTCAGCTGCCGATAGTTTAAAGACATACATTTTATTAAGGCAAATATTCTACACTCTCCACCTCCACCCTTTTATAAGACTAATATTGGGTATAATTATATTAAAAAAAAGGGTAAACCGATATATCTGGCTGGTATAAACTTTAATTCCCTAACCGAATTTGAGAAAAGGCTAGATTTGACGTGAAAGAGGACGAGGCCTCACAACTAGCAACAGATGCGTTTAACGGATCAAAAATGTGCTAACGCCAGCGCTATTTTGCGGCCCATCAACTAAATTTATTCAAATATATTTCAAAATAATGAAAAAGGACGATTACAAAGTGTTATCTAAGGAGGATCCTGCGCTCCAAACCACAATAGCGTCCCCTAGGCATGTACGTATTTTGAAATATTCAGCTACTGTCGGCAATGTGTTTTCCAGCAAATGCTCAGTATTTTGAACCCATTTGTGTTCTTCTTCATATGTATGTATGTTCAACAGCTTCTCCAGCCTAACGGACACACGCTCCTCCGCCAGGGCTTTGAGCAAACACCAGAAACATGTGAACAGAAAGCGCACGTAAAGGAAGTTCACATCAAAACCGAACCGAACTTGGAGCTGTTCTGCGAGGATCTGTCGGATGTCTTGGACGAGCTAGGAGAAATCCTTGAAGAAGAGCAAGCGGACTCTGCGTTTGACACAGAGATCGCGCCGCCACCACCTTCTTTCTGCCTGCAAGATGACACATCCCTGTTTACCAGAAGAAGTAACCCTGATCACGATCGTTCCCCCGTGAACATCGACGATTCCTTAGAGACCTCGTCAAACGACAGTGCAAATAAATCAAAAAAAGATGAATTCTTTGAGAAGGGAACCACTCAAATAATTCAATCGCCTGACTCGAAGAGCCCCAACAAGCCTAGGAGTGGTACACTCATCCCTTTCCAGGAAAGAAAGCCTAGAACCCGAAAGAGTTCCTCAAAAGACACAGTCTCAAATAAGGCAAACCGGGTAATCGAGGCAAATCCTCAGAGTCCCCGGCCAACGCCCGATGATCGTAGAAGTTCTTATAGAAAGTGCAAGACTCACGGCTCAAGCAGCGGTGGCCACAGGCTTAGATCTAAAGATGTTCGAAGTGGTTCCGACAGGCAGAGAAACTCCCGGAGTCCGTCCAAGCACAAAAAGAGCCCAGTCCGATCTAGAGACAGGAGGAGAAGTGTGTCCCAGAACTCTAAGTATTGTAAGCCGGATCAGAAAAGGCACCGAAGTAAATCCAGCGACCGGGTAAGAGGTCGGACGCGGCGAAGAAGTTCCCCGCGGGAGAGGCTGGACCGACGTCCTAAATCGAGGTGCGGGTCCCGAAGCCCGCATAACATGCGCAGTTCCGATTACATAAGGTATCCGCACAGAGAACGCTCCAGAACGAGAATTCATCATCGCCGAAACAGTTCCTCTAGTCCTAGAAGATCCTATGACTTTCGCAGGGGGCACTTCAGAGGATATTCCCCATCAGACCTGCCTCGATACCGTTCGAGAAGTCGATCCAGTTCAGGAAAGATCTCAAGGAGTCGTCGTTCCAGAAGCAGATCCCCTCGATTGAGGGGAATCCGGAGGTTAAACCAAGCAAGGATCCTGACTCGCGGTCGATCTAGGAGCACAGAGCGCTATAGAAGCAGGTCTGTGTCCGTAACGAAAAGTATTGACCGACCATCGAACACCAAGAAGGGTCCCCGACTCGGAAGCAGGCCTCCAAGTTTGAGAATTCAACTCACCTCCTCAAGAAAATCCCCGTCTGCACAGAGCCCGCCTCTGCTGGATGGGACGATGACAGCCGTACATGTAGGTAGCTCCTACCAGGCCAGTCAATCAAGAGACCAAAGACTTCAGCCTATGGAAAGTGTTTCCCCTGTGAGCATCTCGCCCCAACCCATCTCCCCAATGGTTACACTTCACGACAATAGAGTGAGCCGAAGGCAACTACTTCCCACGCCAACGCCTCCTCATATGTTCCACATGCAGGCACATTTCTCAAACATTGAATACAGGACTTCGCTTAGCTACCAGGCGCTTGGGCCGCCCTATAACCCAGCTCCGGCTAATTTGGGTCCCTTTGACTTGCGCCACCGTCTAGATACATCGCGCTCCCTATGTTACCTAGGGCCGAACGATCTGCGCCACCGGATCCAAGGCCTTTGCCTTCAGAATACCTACCTACCGCCTCCAGAATTCGATACCTATGCGCAGTGGCCGCCGGACTATACGATCGATTACAGCTCCAGCGGTTACTACTGAAAAATATACGTATAAACAGAATATTCTGTCCAATTTGTATTGAATCTTTTTAATTATATGTACGTAAGAATCATATCGGACATGTTTCTTCGGATGTTCTTAGCTTAGGGAGTGGGCTGCCCCTGTTGTTCGCGAGACAGTCCGCGTCTGTGACGCCCAAGTCCTCGCTTGGGCGTTCGGCTTGGCTGAAGCGAAAAAATAGAGTGCTTGAAGTTGCGCCCGCAGCACCTCATCCAGGGGTGGGGATCGGTCTGCTCCAAGGGAGGCTTATCGTCTTCCTGGGCGCTTTCAGGGATCGGAGTTGCATCGTGATCCTCCACTGACTTGGCACGCATGAACGCGATTAGGGCACCGTTCATGCTGAAATCACTGTCCGCCGGTGTTTTCATATGCGGGGGCTGGCCGTGATCCATGAAAGACCGGTTGATGAGCATCTCAAAGGGGCGCTCCATTTCCGGCTGTCTATTGTCCTTCCCGTCATGGTTGCTCATAGCTGAGGTAGCAGCTGAATCGCTAAAGTAAGCGGTAGATTTAAGCCATGGGAAACAAGTTTTGTTTCGAGCTTGGAAAAAAACTTACAAATCAAAACAAACTTTGAACCTAAATGTAATTGACGAACATATATATGCAAATGGAATGTAAATGTTGTGTTTTGCAACAGTATGGTAGAAGATTTTAGTAATAAAGAGTATGAATTTAACACCCTTCACCCACGCTAACTACAAGCTCCGAAAAGTTGCCAGTGTTGAAAAACGCAAGTGCGGTAAATCGATAAATTCGTTTATTTAAGCGTTACATATAAACATATGTACATATGTATGTAGGGGGGAAAATGGCGAACGATCAAGACTCCTGGATCTCTTTGAGAACCGGAAGCATTTCTGCAAGTTCCTTGAGCAATGGTGGGTCACAAATAGTTCCGTCTTCTATGCTGCTCAGCAACTGAAGCACCTCATCCACAAAGATCTTGTCCTCCACCCGTAAGCTGTGCGTTGATCTTTTTATGTGAAGCTCCAAGGCCGATTTGCAGTAAAAGACGCGCCCACACTTTGGGCATGGGTGCTCACTGCATCGGTGGCGGACAATATACTTCCTCTTGCACTGGGTGCACTTCTGCATTTGTCTTCCATTGGGACTTGGTTTATTCTCCTTAGCATCCTCCTGGTTAGCATGTTCTTGGTCCACAGCCTTGGTGATATTTCGATACAATCGCAAAGCACTTGGTGAGCTGTATTCTTTTCCATCATGGCGCTTGGGGACTTCTTGGTGTGGAACGTGTTCAGGGATCGCACGTTGCTTAGCAGTGACTGTATTGGGCCGACGGCATATATGAAGGAAAAGCTCGCGCTCCAGCCCGAACTTCCGCTGACAGACTGTACAAATGAAGTTTTTGGACAAGTGACTTCGCTGGTAATGACTGCGAAGCTGGGCGAGCTCGCGGAAAGCTATGGCTCCCGGGGTATGCTGGTGGTACCGGCAATCGCTGCATGGGCAGTGGTAACAGTTGAACGAGCTTTTGTCCGGTTCACTGGTAATATGGTGGACACTCTTCAGATGGGCTTGATAGCGGGAGCGATTCTTATAGACCTTCCCGAAGCACCACTGGCAGCGAAATTCTCGAAACGGCAAAAGGTCGGCGCGATTGGCGACGGTGCAGCTTCTGTCCTCCATTTGGATTAAACCCCCCAACCGATCCTTTCTAACAAATAGGTGCCAGTCCCCAAGTTGGTAATACTATGAACAAATACAAAACCTAGTGCTGGATAGCGGGCTATGTGAAAAACTGGTGTTGGGTAATACAAAAAAATCGAAAGAAAAATTAACAAACTACAAATTTAATTTAGTAGATAAATGTTGAATACTTAAACCACCTGTGATAGTAAAAGTCGGGTTACATTTAGGGAACCTTGACTGTTTTTAACCCTTTTTTTTTGTAAGTGAAATGAAATCGGAAGACAATAAAAATAACGTGACTTCAGAGTATTCTTTTTAAAATTTATTTGTTACAATTCTTTGTTTTTTATTTCGTTTATCGCTACCTTCCTTCCTACTAAGCAATCATATTGAAAAATACTTTAAAAGCAATGAGATTAAATCAAAACTTTACTGTTTTCAATTATTTTAAGTATTGTTTATCACCAATCGCATTTATTTTAGTTATTAAAAAATGTGCATATGTTGCTATTGCTGTCAGCTTTTTCAAATTGACCCCGGATTGAATTTGTATTTTAAAAATATTAGAAAAACATATTGTACATATGGGTAACTCCTTAGAAACAGCAACCGCGGTCAAAACAGTAAAACATATCTAAAATCTTTGTTTGAAATATAGTCATATTTATAAGTGTTCCAATTGACAGAGTTCATGTTCTAAAACATATTTCTGAGTATACAATTGAGAATTTGAGCAAAACGAGAGAATTTGAAAAACATCATAAGAAAAGGTAACGTTTTGCTTTGATAACAACTTCTAAAAGAGAGCCATTATGCTTTGGCTTTTTAACATCACTTGAAGAATGCAAGAGTAGAAATAAAATGCTAACATGTTATTTTAATCTACCTAAAAAGTATCAACCAAAATAAAAGTTAGATATAAAAAATACCGCGTGCTACATGGATTAAAATTCAATTAAAAAAAAATACTTCATATTTTTAGGTCAAACCAAATACATAATGAAGATTAATCTTTGCATAATGCATTATAGTTGATTGCATTAAAATCTTGCATCACGTTTCGCAGAAATCAGTGTTCTTGTAATTATCTTGGCAACGAACAAGTGTCCAACATCGATCTCAGCACCAATTATAGTGCTAACCAAAAACTATGTATAATTTTCAAATTTTGTAAAATTAAAATAAAGTCTTGGCACGTTTTTTTTTTAGTTTCATGAGAGTCACATCACAGTTGCCCATATATTTATATATTTAAAACTTACTAAAATATACCAATTATTACTTTTTATATAACAAACAAATTTATTTTCAAATATTATTTTATTACAAATTCCCACCAGAACTTTACTTGTTTTTATGGTCGTTTGTTTGAATGTTTATAGTTATTATATTTATTTTTTAATTGTTTATATATAGTTCAAAAGAAACTAAACACAAATAATATTTTGGGTGCAATTTATTCTGTCAGTAATTGATATTTAGTCAAATATAAATAATTATAAATTATACAAAATATATTCAAGTTTCGATTCCGTTTCTGATAATACCGCTGGGTTGAGACGTGTCACCACAACTATCGATCGAAATGCCATAATGTATTGTTGAACGCGCCCGTTTCTTTCCTGCATTTTCGCTGCGTCGGCATCATTGGTCCCGTTTGTTTGATTCCCATTTTCGTTTCATTCTTGACTGGAGTAACATTACTCAAGGCAAAACATTTGTTTATAGTTGTGAGTTACAGTTGGATTTTTTTTGTCAATTTTGACATTTTAAAGAACCCGGACGATTTTCCATGCAGTCAGAGCTCATACGTTCGGATAATTCCTGCTCTTTTATTGGTCGTGCTCGTTTATCTGCCTTCTCGCTCACTCGCACGCACGTGCTCGGTTACCTGGCACCTACCCCGTCGAACACCTACATAGTTCACCACGCCCAGCCAGAGCGTCGAGATGGCTCCGAAGAAGCACAGTGGTTTCATGATGTTCGTCAACGAGTGGCGCCAAAACAATTCTCAAGGCAGGAACATGACCTTGGCCCAGGCGGTAACACACTGCGGCGACATGTGGAAGGTAAAAGCCGAGTTCGCTCTTCAATTCGCATGTCTAACATCCGCCTTTGCAGAACCTGACTATGCAGCAGCGCGGCCCCTACAACTCGAGCGCGAAAGACGCCGATGTGCAGGCACGCGCCACTAAGGAGCGTCTCAACTGTTGCGGCCAGGCGATCTCGGATGTGGACAAGGCTCAGCGGGAAATGACCGACAGCGTCCTCCAGATGAAGCGCACTATCGAGCGTATGGTTATGGACGCAAAAAAATCGCATGGTGAGCAGCAATTCCTAACCACATCAAACGAAGAACTGGTTACTACCTACACATCTTTGGTTTACAGATTTGGAAAACACCAAGTTCGTTTTCTGCGCGTTTAACTATTTCACCAAGGCCTTGAAAAGCGACGTCTACATGCCGGCCGAGTTTGCCGCATGCGAGTACTCCCTCAAGGAGGGTATAATGTCAGTTTACAGCACTTTAATAGATCCGGGTCACATCATTTTCGGGCAGGCCAGTGACGCCCAGCAACATGCATCGACTACTCACGGCCTACCACTTCCTCCCAAGGCGTTGGGGGAAAAGAACATGGAGAAGCTATATAGCCAAATCGTTGCATATTTGACCAAGTGCCATGGCAATAAGCCGCTAATTGTGTTCACCCCCACGGAAAATATGGCAGTGGTCAAGTCGTGCATGAGATTCTTGGCTTGCGAAAGTGACAAGGATGCTCTGGACGGCTTGAACAAAATTATAGTGTATGACATCCAGTACTTGTTCTTAGTTCTGAAGAAGGAAGTGTTGAGCATAGCCGGGCTGCCAGATGACAAAATCAACATATATGTGACTGATACCATTTTCCTTAGGGATTTTTTTGAATTTACACCTGAAATAGCTTGCCAGGTAAGCGAAGGCAGTTAAAATAACTTTTCCCAGAATGTGAACTTTCATTTGCGGCCCCTTTCAGTTTCACGAGGTAAACGACCGCGCCAAGTACTGCACCCAGAGCATGGTGAAGCGCTGGTGCTTCATCTTCAGCGATTATATGTGCGGGGATCTGGCCATCACCGTCAAGCCAGGGAAGCATATTCCGCCCAAGACTCGGCCCAACTACAAGGTCATTCCAGCAGACGGCTCGTCGCTCTCCCGAGAGTCGTCGTTTGACTCGTTCTACTCCCTTCCAGGCTCACGATCCACGCAGGGAGACAAAAACCGAAACGCCTCTCCCACCGGCAGTCAGCGTTCCACTGCATCAGCTTACGTACCCACGGACCACACCGTCTTTGCCAGCGGGTTAAATGAAGGAACTGAATTTCCAAGCCTCGGCGATCGTCGTCCTAAAGGGCGCCGTGCTCCAGCCGGTGGTGCTGGTCAGCGGGAGTTGGGTGCCTGGAATCTGCCAGCGCCCTCGCGCACACTCAACGAGTTCTCGGACGATGATTTTAGCGTAGTTGGCGCTGGCAATCGGAACCGTCACTAGTTTGCATAGCCAATCTCTTCCTTATTATAAAACTGTATTAACCCACTTGGAAAATTTGAAGAATCTCAAAATATTTTTGTTAACTTGGAGAGCAAGACTTCCTTACCAATGTAAAAGAGAATAAAATCAATGCAGTTTTCAGCACAGCATTTAGAACTTAACAATTCGCCCAAATTTAAACCTTTTCTTACTCCTAAAATTGGGAAAATTGAGCAACAGAAGTGTGGTCTAACATGTAGGTTTAACAAATAAAACTTTCATTCGGTTTCTTTTGAATTAAAATTTAGTTATTTTAATTATCTTATAAGACCCTTAAAGCAAAGGAAGACATGATTCCTTATCGAAGAAAAATTATAAAAAATTTCAGATTAAAAGTGAATTCTATTCTGGAAAATTAGAAATGTATTCTGTATTGGGAATATTGAGAAAAAGAAGTGTATGATGTAGGCTCAACAAATCAAACTTTCGGTTCCTTGGTTTAGTTTCTGCACTTTCATATGTACATACATACATACATAGTAACTTTACTCTTGTTACAATTTTGTAACAAAACAATTAAAACTTTTATAAACCATTTATTAATACTACAATTTAAAATATTGAGGAAAATAATGGTGTTCCAAAATGTAAAATTAATCAATAAAATTGTTGGTTTCTTTGCTTAAGTTGCTTTGTAACTTGGAAAGCCTTTGTTCAAAATCCACACTATAAACTTGTGCCTTGCGTATGTGTGGAAATATGTAAACTGTGCGCTAAATATCGAATTTATTTAAGAGTCGAAGAAGTACAAAATAAGAATAGAATGCAAACATGCAGTCAATGTTAATCACTATTCAGAATTACAATTGGAATGGTCAAATAAAGCCGTGTTCAATCACCCCTAAGCCAAAAAGTAACATTCTTATTACTGATTTTACCCTTGCACTCTGCAAAATGTTGACCATAAGACAGCTCGTCTCTCTATGAAACTTTGCAGATAGTCTTCATTATTCTTCTATAAGTATACAAGTCGGATCTATGCGTATCATAAAGCTATCACAGAAACTATAGTTAAATATATAGGATAATCTAAAAGAGTAATGTAATAAAAGTTTATTGTAAATAAAATAACTCTATATAGTCGTCAAAGGAACTATTTTTATAAGAGCATATCAGCTAATGTTCGAGGTTTTTACATGTAAATATTTTATATCTGTTGTTAGGTTCTTTTTATTTGACAGAAATGGATCTATTCTCAATGTTCCCATGGCAAACGGCCAGGGCGTACAAATTTTCGGCCTTAGATATATGCTTTAATGTTTAAAATAAATTAATTTATCATATTTTTTTTTCATGAATTCAATATTATTTATAGTTGAACATAGTTTTTAAATATTGTCATTAAAAAATTACATAAATATAACGATTTCCTCTCTTTGAGGAGTCTTTTTGGCGATCGATTAGATAAGACTATGCAGATCGTCCCATATGTATGCCCCTGCAGTCTATTTAACTTGCACGGGGACTCTTCGAGTGGCGGGACACAGAGGTTATGCTGGTGGGGTCTCTCAGGAGCACCAAACGAATAAAGGCTAGATTAAGCAGAAATGCTTGACCCAGAAAATCTCGTTGGTGCCGCGCCAGCTGCGAGAATAATTGGCGAAGATCGGCAGGAAAGTGAACTTGGTTGAGCAGGGTTATCGCCTGGGTGTCGGAGGTCTTATACTCAGAGTAGTTGTCGTTTCGCATCATGGCCAATATGGTTTCTTCAGAGGTCACGCGCTCCGTTCCAACCAGGTGGTTAAAGAGGCGGGCTGTGAGAAAGCGGCGCATATAGTAGACGTTTTTCGCTTTGTTGTCATCGGGGTACATGCGGGACATGAGGGCATAGCTCATTATGGCAGAAACCTGAGCCTTCTGAATATTTACGTTCTGCTGATCTATACTGCCGGGGTTGTTGCTGACCTGCGCCATTTGAGGGCTCTCTAGGACGTAACAGTCAGCCTGCGGTATCTGGTGCGTGGCATATAGACAGCGCTGGACAAGCTCGGCCAGGTGCATTTTCTTATCGTTCAGCTCATGATGTTGCCAATTGGTGAGACGGCAGGAGGAATCCTGTCTCCCGATCTCCATTCGCGCCCAGCTCACGCTGGTCACACCGATGCGAACACCAATGCTGGACACGATCTGCAAGCGCCGCTTATCGTCCATTGCCGGAGTTATAAAGGGCGCGGTGCGCGACGCCTTTGGCTCCTGCCCGGGAACTACCTCACTGCTGCGCACTCCGTCAACCTGTTCGAGTAGGCTCTTGAATAGTTTTGTTGCAACCTTCAGGCTGAAGCCCTCAATGTGCAAGATTTCACCAAGCTCCTTCATCGGACCATAACGTGTTTTCCAGTTCTGCAGTTTGGCGGCCCTTGCCTTCGTTATGTCGAAGCTGGAAGACACGTAGGATTAGGGTTTGATTCGTCACAATATGTGCATTCAAACCAACTTAAGCATCTGATCAATGCAGCTCCCGTTGATTGCTTCCAAAATCTTGAGGCGCTGATCATCGGAGTACGCCGGCAAGATGTTGTGGCTGCTGTCCTGCTCAGTGCCGTGCTGCTTCGCACTCGTGATTGATGACCATCTAAGGGACCGGCCCGTTACCGCCACTGCCCGACAGCAAGACAGCATATTTGCCCTGTTTTTGTTAAAACTTCAGCCGGCGAACTTCTTGACCACAACTTGTTGCTGTACACAGAACAGCTGAGCGGTTGGTGTGACCACGGCAAGGTTGCTGAAAAATACCGAAAGCGAAAAGACAGCGAGTTTTTCTTTCTCTATTCACACAGTATTTTTTATATGGAGTTTTGCTGCTTTCAAAAAATGTTTCTCATGTTAGTACCAGCTTTAACAGTGAAAATCACCGTATCGAGAGAGTAAAAGCTGTGAGAGAGAGCGGGAAGCAAATAGTTACAAACGGCTGGTTCGCGAGCGCCGTTTTAAAGGCCTGTATCGATACGCGAAACCAAAATACTAGAAAATTGCATGATACTAGGGGATTAGGCGAAGGCACATTTTTAGTATTTCCAGAGCGGTGATAAGGTGTTCTCGACTATTTGAATCTTGCTTTGTCTTGTAGTTCCATTTCCTTTACGTATTTAAAATTATTTTCGGAAAGGTGTAAACAATTGATTATATTAAACTGCGAGAGGCACATACAAAATTTTTAAATTGGGCAATTATATTATGTTTTTGCAAGGAAGAGAGGAATCGACCAAAGGAAAAATGTAAGAACAAATATTTTAGAGCAAACTTACTATGCTGTCTCCAATTAACGGACATTTAACTATTAAACAAGATCGTTTTACAGAAATGCTTATTTTTAAAACGTTTGAGTCTTAAAAATATATGTAACAAGAAAGGAAGCTAACTTCGGCACGCCGAAGTTTGTATACCCTTGCAGATATTATTTCATTACATTTTACCTATACTTATTATGTTTACAGTTTGACAGTTACAGTTTTGCATTCCCAGCTTTACATTTTGTATACATCTACCGATCGGTTTATATGGCAGCTATATGATATGAGTTGTCCGATTTTTTTGAAATTTATACCAAAATTCTAGAATAATAAAATAAGCTTATATCCCGGAGTAGATGAAAATACGTTGAAAAACAACGAATATATAATTTTTTTCTATTAATTTCCCGATCGTTCCTATGGCAGCTATATGATATAGTCGTCCGATTTTCATAAAATTTTTACCAAAATTCAGAAATAATATAAAATGGTCATATCTAAAAAATGGTTCCAAAATGTTGAAAAACAACAAAGTAATAATTTTTTTTCTAAATATATATCGAACATTTGTATGGCAGCTATATGATATAGTCGTCCGATCCGGCCCGTTCCGACATATATAGCAGTGAGAGTATATAGAAGACTATATGCAAAGTTTCATTCAGATAGCTTTAAAACTGAGGGACTAGTTTGCGTAGAAACGGACAGACGGACGGACAGACGGACAGACGGACATGGCTAGATCGACTCGGCTGTTGATACTGATCAAGAATATATATACTTTATAGGGTCGGAAACGTCTCCTTCACTGCGTTGCAAACTTCTGACTGAAATTATAATACCCTGCAAGGGTATAAAAATGTAAAAAATACTGAATACAAGTTACTAAGTGCATGTACTCATACTAATGGTAAATGCGAGCATATTTATTACAGAAGACAAATTTTTCAGCTGTATGAGAAATTCGGTCGGGATTTCTTTTCGAAACAGGGCGTAAGACGACATTACCCTAGTGGAGTTTACGGTTTTGAACCACGCTTTTACGGTTTAAAACTTCGATTTTTTTTTGGTTTGAAACACAAATACTTGGTCGCTCATGAACGAAACGTCTGGCAACGCTAGCCAGTTCTCCCAAAAACAAAGCAGACAACGTTGCAGTAAGCAGTAGTTGCAGTGTCCCGCCAGAAACTGCTTGCTGCTGCTTGCCGTTTCTGCCGGCAAGTTGGCAGCCTCGCCGAGCGGCGGCACATATTGCAATATGTGCACATGTGTGTGTGCAAGCAACCACAACACCGAACAGATGTTTCAGCGCGGGTCATAAAAGTGAAATTCCGTGGCCTTATCGAAGTGGGAGACTAACGGTATTAGCCGGCAATGACGACGATGGACTACGAGTGCAACAGCAGCCACGCCAACTATTTCGCCAACATTTATGTGAACAACAACGGCAGCACGCAGAAGCCAGACCCCGCCACCACAGCAGTCTCCGCTCAGCTGATCCAGGGAAACAGCTCCAGCGGACTGCTAGAGACTGACATTATGGTCGGAGCCAATGGCCAGGCCACGCCTGCCCCCGATCCCTGCTCTGCTTGCCTGCCCACGAGTGAGCCGTGCCTAACTTTGGACGACGATGAATGCGATTCTTTCCTCATCAGCAGCTCCAGCAGTCGAAGAAATGTCCGCAGCCGAATGCGAAACTCCTGCTGGGTACGCGCCCACGCCTTTGTGACCCGCAACTGGTACCTCAGTTGCCTGGTTCCCGCGTCCGTTCTTGGCGCCCTGATTTTTGTGGGCTGGATTTCGCGCGACTACGCCCGCCAACTGCTCTTTTGGATAGAGACGCAGGACTCCTGGATGACCTTTGCCGTTTTCATGGCTCTCTTCACATTGGTCAGCTTCCCGGTGGTTGTCGGCTACTTTGTGCTGCTCATTACCGCTGGCTACCTGTTCGGCTGTCTGCGCGGGTGGCTCACAGTGATTCTAGGCGCCAATCTGGGCATAGCGGTCGCCCACGTCTCGATTCGGAGCATTCGTCACCGCATCCCTGTGCAAAAGTGAGTGCATACTGAAATAAAAACACCTTATTACTGTACATTTCCAGTTAATGGAACCTAGCATGATCAGGAGTCCTTAATATTAGTATTATTTTGTTACTAATTAAATTTTTAGTGGTCAGGGTAACAAAGATATGGACTGATTTGCAAATCAATGTACTACTACATAGAACACTAAACAGCATTGGCCCATTCCGCGGAAAGAAAATATCTCTGCGTCCAAACGCAATATGAAAAAGGCAGAAAAAAGAATCAATCAATCAAATCAGTCAATATTAACAATAGCCAGATAAGATCGAACATTTTGTCTTTTTGTCAGTTTTGATCAAACGAAATTTGATCATAGTTCGTCAACTAAATTATCGGTTAATTTTATCACACTGATTTTATTCGTAGCCACTGTATGCACTGTCTTAGATAAAATAATAGAAACAAGCAACATGCTTGAGTTTGGAGCTCGATTATTAACTTCTTAATAAAAAAGAACTATAAAGGTTTTTATAAAAATACTAGCGGACCCGGCGAACTTTATCTCGCCCCAACTTCGACTGATTAAAACAAATTAAATTGAGACGTTCCGTTTCTACTTTGACGTACATGTCGAAACAGTACTGTTGAAACATCATCAATCGATACGCATAAAAATTCATAGAGCTGACCTAATTCCTATCTTCCCCTAAAAATTGTATTCAAAATTAGTTGAAAATCAAAAAGAAGTGATGACTTTTAAACAAACCTGTCGTTGGATTGACAAATTTTTTTGACTTGAAATCAGTGGAGAGCGATCTGATAAACCATATTTTTTGTTTTGTTATCCGGTGCAAAAATAAATAATGATGACGGCTTTCCCACACGCGAACAGGCTACGTATAGCTGGCCATGTGAAAAACATGGATATTCCAGATTTATCCCGCAGACTTCCAACGATTGGCCTTGCGGTTTATTGATTGTCATCGCAATCGCCAATCGAACTGGGAACTTAATCCTCTTGAATTGGAATGGAAGATCTGTTGGAATAATCGGAATTCGTGGGATAAGAACTTCCTCTCCTTTAAATTTGCCCTTGCATATAGCACGGACTTCCAACATAAGTAGCTGGGAGATTGGTCAAACAACCTATGTTGGCCGCGTGTCCTTCAGTAGCGATGGCGTCACGCAAGTGAATGTACTCATCTGACCGCAACTTCGACTGATTAAAACGAATGAAATTGAGACGCTCCGTTTTTACTTTGACGTACATGTCCACGCAGTACTGTTGAAACAAACGGCGGTATCTTAAGAGATGATTGTCAACATCTAGTCAAATCATCAATCGATACGCATAAAAATTCATAGAGTTGACCTTATTTGTTTCTTCTCCTAGAATTTGAATTCACACTTAGTTGTAGAATCAAAGAGAATTGATGACTTGTAAACAAACCTGATGTTGGATTGACCATCTTTATGTTGAAGTGATACCCATCTTTTCCACGACAGAACATCAACGGGTATTGAAGAGCATTATATGACCGATGAGTCTCATAAACTCGCTGCAATTGGCCATTATCCCGACGCTTCAAAACAATATCGCGTCATTCCACATTCTCGCCAAAAATCACCACTGCGACTTTATTGATGGTGGGAGCATTAAATTGTCTTGCATGGCTACCAGTGGGTCTTTTTTGCGCTGATAATGATTTTGTGTTCGTCATAATGCATTATATTCAATGCAGTTCATGCTCATGGAGAAGATTTTGCAATTGTTCGATAATTTCACGTTAAGTTTCAGTAAAAATTGCACAGCGGTGATTTAGTTCAACTGCCGAATCACCAATGAAATAGATCTGAAGGAATTTAAGATCTTTGTTTTGTGGTGATAACAAAGCGCCCGCTCGGTGGTGAATTTGCCCTTGAATCTGAATGCAATTTCGAAAAAATGTGAGTTGTTCATTTTGATAATAAAGAGACGCCATTAGCTTATAACTTGGATTGTAGCCTGATTGATGAAAAACCTCGACTCCAAATGACGTAATTGGAAAGCATCCGTTATATTTTTGTGCAAGCTTTAGGAAACTGTTTGATTGGGCTGAATTTCTATATAGTAGCGAATACAATGGCCCTGGTGGATGAAACAAAACGGGCAATTTAATTTTGCCACCTGCACAGCATAAGCCGGGGGTTTCCAACCAAAACTTCAGTGCATCGCAATCCTAGACAATGAACCAATAACAACGCAGGTAAGATCCTTGTAGGATGTTTCAGGATTGTATGCGAATGCAGCGCGATTCAAGTTTTCATTTGCGGCTCGTCTTTCTCTATTATTATGTCGGGCTTGAGGTGATCTTTGTGGAGCGAGAAGCTGTGCCATTTGGGCACGTATCGATGCATTTATTTCTGTACGTTCCTCTTGCGTCCGACTATTACGGGAATTCTGAATACTCATTGCATTGCGTGAACGCCGTCCAAGTCTTGATCGTCTAACAGCAGGCATTACTTCCAATTGGTAATGCTTCGTTAGCTCGATTTTTTTGTTTAAATATTTTTTTACCGAGTTCATTGATACACAATTTCAACGCAGCTATGATCTTTGTAGGGTGTTTCAGAATTTTACATACAACAGTGTGTCCATCTGTTGAGCCGCTAGCGACTTTTCCGGAAGGACTTCCCAAAATTTTCTTACCTTCTTACCTTCTTCTGACAATTACAAACAACTGAAAAAAATTTGAGCCAAATCGGCCCAGCCGTTCTCTTGTGATGCCATTAGTAACATTTTTTGTCTCCATTTTTATATATATAGATTAGACATATAGCCAACTGGTCCCAGATAGCCCAGAAATAATGGAAATATAAATTAAAATAGAAACGCACTAAATTTTATACATATTTGACAATAAACTTATGTGCTTAATATGTTTAAAAAAACGTTTCACTTCAGCTCCTAAACATTACTTGGATTTATTTTAAGGTGCATAGTTTATTATGACTAAAACATTATAATAAATTATTCTAAAAACATTTTATATGTTATAAAGTATCTAAGTAATGTCATATTTGTACAACAACATAGCGCATTTCTATTTTATTTCCAAGACTAGTTTCTCATATCTGTCATACTTTTATAGCATCTTTTCATTTCAAAATTTGTATATATAGAGTTATTATGGAACATTTTTTAATAAATGTGCCCTTTAAGAATTTAAATATAAAGATATTCGAATCTTTCACAATTGTATCATGACCTGTCACAGCAAAGACGATTCAAGTCAAGGTAGCCCTTCGCCTAATAGTCTCCGGGTCACAGTTCCCTTAGTTTCTGGGTTTCGCACACAATCTCCTTTTATCCTGTGACCGCGCGCTTCTGCAACTCCCCAATGCTACGTTTAACAAGAAATTTAAAGTGTTTAGGCTTCAGTGCGGGAGTGCGCTGTAGATGTACCGCACTGGCAGAGGCTCAGCGTAGTGATGTCCATTTGGTGTTACCCACGGTCCTATCCTCCGAGTTTGCCAAGGAAATTGCTCCTCTTTCAGTACCCGTCCTGATCGATAAGTACTCCCACCATGCCCCTGGCGGCCAGTTTGCCACCGTAGCGGAGTACCTGCACAGCGATCCAAAACCCAGCGAAGCTCTGGTGCCGGGCGAGATCGATCTTCATCGGGCGATGACCCTGGACGGCTTCAACGCCTATATGCAGGCAAAGGCTGCATTCTATGAGCCGCGACGCAAGGTCCTCAATTTCGCCCACGTTCTCGTAGTGGCCGGGGCAGACTTCCTTCGTGGTTGCCCGTTTCGGCAGCGATCTGAATTTCTCTACCTCTGCGACTGCTTGAGGCCAGGATCGGCACTGTTGCTGCACCGCAGCCGGAAGCAAAAAACTGGAGCCCTGCTCTTCCTAACGGAGAAAGTAGACCCGGAGCTGGCCAGAGTTTTCAGCCGCATGCACCATGTGGACGAGGTTCTGCCCCTCGACATGCTGAAGAAGAGCTTGTCCTGGATACTTAAGGACCAGTCCCCCGAGCTGTGGCACACCTTGGAGCAATCAAGTGAAGTCAGCCGAATGGTGAGCGAGGTATCCGAGGAGGCCAACACCCCTCTGTCCAACCCTCGCTACATTCTACAGTATACCCGAACCTTTAAAACGGACCGAGAGCTGAGTGTCCTGCGTCGGGCCAATGGTATTGCCGCCGAGTCAATGGCGGAAGTGATCGCCTACAACTTATCACATCCACACAAGTGTGATCCTCGGGGAATGGCTGCACTGTTCGACTTTAACTGCCGGCGGCGACATGCTCACCCGGACCACCCCTTCTCAGCCAAGGTGGCATGTGGCTCAGATGGCACTGGTCTGTGGCATATGGATGCTGGTTGCCAATACGGGGGCTACCATGGTGGTCTGGTCAGGAGCTGGCCAGGCTCAGGCCGCTTCACACCACCTCAAAAAATGTTGTATAGCGCACTCTTAGATATTCGACGCGATCTCTGCGCACTGATCGAGGCTGCCGGAGACGGCGGTGCCGTGAGCACGCCACAGGAGCTGCACGCTGCCTACCTGATCCTCCTAGCCGGGCACCTAAGGGAGCTGAGGATATTGTCCAACACCAAAAGGAGTCCAGCCGAAACCGTTGAGGCGGCGCGCAAGTACAATTGTACACCGGTTGTCGTCTCTCACGTGGGCATCGAGCCGCAGGACACCAGTGGAAAGCTACTTGGTTATCCCCTTGCACCCCGAAACGTTTTATCGCTTCGGCTATCCATTTCCATACCAGACGACTGCTGTGAGGCCTACCCAGAGTTTAGAGGCATACTCTGCCAGCTGGGCGACACCCTATATATCCGGGATGACTACACTGTAGAAGTACTCACCGCCATTTGCCCCAGCAAGCACCACCCAGCTGCAGGCAGTGTGCCTGCGTCTGCCCGGTGGCTCGACTACCCACAGAAAAGAGAAACCGCAAGGACAGAGGGGCCTAACGAAATCTGCGGTAATGCAAGCCATTTTCACAACGTGTAACCTGTTCGTGTAATTATACAAAAAATATAATTACAATAGAATGTCTTGCTCTCTGGTCATTTTTGATATTTCAACGTCCGATTCGCCAGTTCACCAGAAGTACAATGTGCAAAACTTACACATTTGTGAGGGCAAAGACCTTATAATAATAAGATGCTGAAATCCATCTGGAACCGTCAACTACAAAGCAAGTGCTGAACAAACTTGAGATCGAGAAAACTAAAGAATAATATAAATTGAATGGTGCTACCTATCTTGTTATTAAAAGTTATTCGGTTATGGGCTTCTATTTATTAGGAGGTACTAGTCATTATTCGTGTACCGATTACACTATAATGTAGCCCATAGCACACCCATTTTGTTCCTTAAAACTCAGCGAGGGCTATTAATTGATTAGCCATGTCAATAATTGATAACAGTGCCCACCGTTTTGTTTATGGCGGCAGTCGGCCTACCGCTTTCTAATGTCATAAAAATGAATATGTTAGTACAGGCCAACTGAAATACAGTTCTATGAAATCTGATCACATCTTCTTTTCATATACTTTCAGGCTGATTAAAAATAAGACTGGACTGGCCATACTTCGCGTGATTTCTGGCCCGAAGGCCTTTAAGGTAGTGCTCTTCACACGACTTACACCCATTCCCTTCGGACTGCAGAACCTGATTTTCGGAGTGAGTGATTAAATACTGTACAGATTCTAGCCAGATTAGAAATATAATAAATTTATTATATCGCAGGGAAATTTTATTGTACAAAATAATGCTAGAACTCTAGAAAATGTTTGTTTAGCTATCAGACCACGTCTTTCCTACGCCCCCATGCTAATAAGAATCTATAGTCGTAATGTTACCATCGGTCCTATAACAGATATTATATATGATACAGATGTCCGTTTTTGATAAATTGGAAAGAATTGTTGTTTATATATTCAGAACAAATATATCTCGATGTATGCGCGTATATATTTAAAATCAACAAAGTTTATCATTTTTATACCCTTGCAGGGTATTTTAATTCTAGTCAGAATGTCCGTTTTTATGCAAACTAATTCCTAAGTTTGAAGCTATCTGAATGAAACTTTGCATATATGTATGTATGTTCGACTAAAGTTTCTTTTTTTAATTTTATCAAATCCAAATTATATCCTGTGTATAAATATACAACTTTTATTGTTAAATTCGTATTAAATTGAAGCTGAAAGTGCTCAGTCAAAAATAATGCAGATATATTGAAACCGACAAATTAATTGTCTTTACACCGGGTATGAGGCCTTGATTGGCCAATGAGGCTTTGATTGTATACAAATCGGACGGATATATCTTATAGCCTCTACAGGATCGGTTAAAGTATAGGAAAATGTAAACGTAAATATAAATTTTAAATTTTAAATATAAATAGAAAATAATTAAAAATACCTGAAATAAAAAAGCGATTATTAATAAAGTTTTATCCAGATAGCCTTAAGATGAGAACCATACATACAATTATTCAAATTTCGTCGTTTATTCTTATAAAACTTATTTACAGAATCGAAAGTCCTACGACCCTACTATAATTAATTTTCTAAAATTGAATGTATTAAACATAACATACTGCCGTGTTCTATAATAGAATCTTTTCGCTTTCAGATAAGCTCCGTCGGCACAAAAGACTACCACGTGGCTACAATGCTTGGCTTGCTGCCAGCACAGACTATTAACGTGTACCTAGGCTCCACGCTGAGGTCTATGCACGAGGTACTCAACGACAACGAGACCAAGCTAACCGGCTACATCAGCTTTGTTTTGGAGGTGAGTCTAGGGAATAGTCATCAGAATATAATATAATTACAAACAAGAAAGCGATCGTCCTAGTAGTCATAAATTGCTATATTTTACTCCCTAAACGAAACGTTGACTCGTCGGCAAAATAAAACGAAAGATAGATATACTATTGTAATACTCTATTGTGCACTTGATCATGGTGCTTTTTTATTTATTATTTTAATTATTTTAAAACTAAATACATACGTTCTAATGCCATTGGTAATCTAAAAGGTCATTTGCGGCGTGGTTCTGATGTTTTGGGTGGTGCAAAAGGCGCGAAAGGAGCTATCCGAAACGCTTATATCCGTGGACTACAACAGTGACGGGAAGCACACCGACATAGAAGTCTAGCACAAGCCATATTTGGATGAAACACTCTACGAAAGAGGTTCCAGTTCGACAAGCTCGGAAATCCCTAGCAGCCAGACAAGACTGCAACTGTGCATTAATTACTCTAAGATTATATTCGATTTAAGTTATTCTAAGCTCAAGGCATTGCCGTTGATACCAAACAATATGCTAGTTTAAGTAAAAAGTTAAACATCTCAATTTCCGAGTTAGCCCTACATCACTTAAGCTAAGGATTGTCACAGCTACGGATTGTCATCAAAAACTCAAGCCCTGACAGTATATAAAGGCGAGTAAACGAAAAGCAAGATGATTACAACTAAGTCACTCCTTGAGAGTGATTTGATTTTCGGTCAGAATGCTCCATAAACGCATTGGGATTAGATCTTGCCTAGACTGTCCTCTTGCTATTCCTCCAGCTGCGAAGTTCTTTGGTCATGTATTGCTTTAAGACTGTATCTAGCGTTTCCAGGACGAGTTCAACGTTCTTGGTATCCACGCAAAGGGGAGGTCTAAGGGTTAGAACCTGGTTTAGGGGAGAAGAGGTGGCAATGGATGCCGATTAGTTTAGGAAAGGTGCTTCTGCTCAATACATCGTCAAAGCTATGAGATCGGGTTAGTTAGATGATACTTGTATTATTACCATTATTTAATTATTAATATTAGTACTTATAATATTACACCTATTATTTTTAATATTGTTATTATTATTATGAGAATGGTAGCTGATGGTAGTAGTTGTAGTTAGTAATGATTGCTACTTACAGTTGTACTATTACTATTATTTAATTATTAACATTATTATTCTTATTATTGTTATTATTTTTATTCCTATTACTATGATGATTATTATTATTATTATAAGAATGGTTATTAGAATTATTTCTTTCATTGTGAGTTAAAATATTTTCAACTTGTAGAAAATAAAATATAACAACATTTTATGGAAGCATTTAAATGATGTTGAAACAAAACCGTGTTAAGTTTACAACACCTGCTCAGAGATGCCTTTTATCCACCGACAACTTCAAAGAGTGCCAAAAGTGGTTCAGTTTGTTTCCAGTTAGGTTCTGCAAATATGTATATTGGGTAACACACCGTGTAAAAAAGTTGATTGCAGAAGAAAAACATGTATTATCACCAGTTTCTATATAGAGACTGCCCTCATCTTCTTGAGAGGCACTGATTTTCTCGCCAAAAACCTGAACTAAATAAATAAATAATTTATAATGTAACATTAAAATTTGGTTTTTTATACCCTTTGGTTTTGGTTTGTATACCCTTTCAGTTGTAAGGCGACTGCTCGAAACAGTAAGGAAAAAAACATTTTTTTTTAAGTGGTTCCCTCATAACCCTGTGCATGTTTTAAAACATTACTTATGTGGCGGCGCACAGTAGCGCCTTTTCTCATTTTACGTTGCAAAAATCATAACTTTTGAACAAAACAAGATAACTAAATAATTTAAACGCCATTTGATAGGTAATTATTGTAAAATTAACATATGTATTGGAAAATCTGCCACGCCCACTCATTCGCCTTTTTAAAGGGTATCAAAGTGAAGAAATATTTTTTTCTCAATGAAGACCATTTTTTAAAAATATTTTTTATTTAATTTTTTATCTTTATTTTAATGTATTTTCTTAAATAAAAATAATTTGAAAACTGGAAAAAAATTTTTTTTTTTGTTCTATGTTTAACCGCCACAGAACCGTGAGCGCTACAGTTAGTATTTTTTGTTGGTTTGTATGAAATTGTGTCCGTATTTTGGTATATTTTACCCTGAGTTGTTTCAGTGTTTTGCTTCGCAATGCCAGAGTCGCAGCTGGACGCAGACTTTCTAAACGGATTCTGATTCAGGAAAGATACACGCAGTGCGTAGTCATAGTGTAGTCGCCGGCTCTGGGCAGCTTCAGAAGTTATAGACTACTTTAGCCAGAAAAAGGTGAAAAAAATGGACACCTGGCAGGTAGCAATTTACCTGTACAAGCCCACACAAAACTACCCTTTCTTTTAATTTGAATAAGAGGTAATGAATATACCTGCCATTAAAAAAAAAAATCAAGACCATTGGTTATGTAGTTTTTGTATAATATTACCTGAAAGTCGACTAATTTACCTATTTTTTGTTGTATGACGCATACACGGAAAACAATTTCGACTTTGAATGCTCATATCTTCCTCAAAAAAAATCTGAAAATTTTTTTGGTTACAGATTCGGAATCCTTGGGAAATTCTCTGTCGATTTCTTATGGTTTAAATCGATTTGGCGATTATGACTTTCGATTTTTGCAACGGCTTTTGTTCGAGAGGCGCTACTGTGCGGCGTTTCAAATCAAATTCAATGAGCCAATACTTGAGGTTTCGCCACAACTTTTGAAAAAAGGTTAGGTTTGCACCGAATTAAGATGTAATACTCTCTTTGGTGTTAGCCAAGAAGCACAAAAAATCGATGTTCCAAAACTAAAGGAAATTTTCTTTGGTTAAATGAGAGCAACGTTCTTGTTTTCAGCAAAAACCTTAATACACCACACCGAGGCTAACGTGTAATAAAATAGAGTAGGCAAAAACCCATCACCGATCAAAACATGTACATATGTACATACATACTTCACAGAAAAGAATGCTTACCTTTGCAAAGTGTAAAATAGTACATATCTTATTGATATTAGTCCCACAGAACCACGCAGTGGACCCAATCGAATCCTTTTGGAAAGCAGTTAAAGAGTGTTGAAGTAAGAATACTGAAACTTTGTTGACAACACGTAAAGATGCTATGTCGCTAACGAGATAAAAGGATACACAACATCATATCAGGTTCGAAAAATGGACTTATCACTGTGGACAGACGTCATTGTGGCAATTAGCCACGAGAATGTGCTCAAACAAACAATTATATATAGCGAAATTAAATTGGAACTGGCCGATAGTAAAAAACGATATACTTATCAAAAGGTATCCCTTTTCATAAAGGTTTAACATACATGGACTTTTGAATCGATTAGTTGAGGATGAATGCGAAAAAACAGCAGCACAAACAGACTACTAATGCTACAAAAAACAATGCAAAGGTAATTAAAAATGCTAATCTGCCTTAAGATAATGTATCTAAATATAATAATTTGTAATTTATAACTAAAATTATTCTGAAGTCACTTGAGACTTGATCAAATTGTGGTATATAAAACTTTATAGACATTATCCCATATAATTATATTATTAAAAAAAAAACCTTGCAAAGTGTTTTTTTTTTATTTTTACAATGTTATTTTCAAACAACAAATTTAATTTTAAGGGTATTGTCCCATATGACGGCCGTTTTTTGAACCGTGCTTTGAAGAAAATTTCTGAAGAGCGCTTGAGACTCAGCCATTTTAATTTTTTAACAGTTAAGTATAATATAAAGTATTTTTCAAAATTTTTTGCAAGTCAAAGTATTGCCAAATTTTCGAGTTAAAGGAAGCTGGAAGATTTCAAAAATTTAAATGCAATTATGATTTGAATGAATGTGGACACGGAATAGACTAGGATATTTTGAAAATATTGAAAAAATTGGGTGTTCTTGAAACACACTTATATTTGTCTATTTTGCACTGTAAAAAAAAACTTCTTGGCCTATCGAAAAGATCCTAGTTCGTGTCCGCATGTATTCTAAACGGTTCTGCAAATTTCAGAACAATCGGTTAAGTCGTTTTTAAGAAATCATGTTGACCAGTTGGTTTCGAGAAGAACGCAAAAGAAATAATCATTGCAGGAGTAAGCAGATCTGACGAGCATGTCTTTTCAGCGATGTAACTTTGTATCGACATCGAATATCGAAAAATCCTTTCAAGCACTTATAGCAAATAAGTTAAGGAAACGATTTATGTAAAAAAAAAAGTTTTTGGTTTTTTTTAAACCTTCCCCTTAATATTAAACAAAAACACTGCCTAACGATGTATGGAAAAAGTGAAGATATTATTTCAAGTTGTTGAGATTAATAATTAATTCGAAAAAAATTGATCTAGTTTCGTTTCATTTTCGGCACTAAGCTGCAAAATATCTATGTAGCCTTGAAACTAAAGAATTATAAATTCGTGAAATTATCTGTAATTTGTAAATAGGTATTTTTTATATGTTAATGTTAATTAATGTTTAATACCCTTATGTAAATATGTTTCACCCTCAAATATATCAAGTGCTTCTAGAAGTGGAAAATGCACTTTATAGTTTAAAACAAAAGGCTTAAACGTTTCCAGTTCGTATGGCAATACTTGTTTTGCCATTTACTTATTTACTTTTATATTTCTTAAAAATTTTAGTATTAGTTTTGTTTCGTAACTAGATTACCACCTAGCAAGACGGTTGGGGAAATTAATCGGTTAGTAAATGCATGAGACCATCCACAAACGCTCTCTCTCCGATCGATGTACTTTCTCCATTTAGAACTTCAATATTTTACTTGTCCAGAGAATCAGTGATGGCCCGAGCCAGCACATCAACCGCGAACTTTACGTCTTGCCGGTTGATGCACATGGGAGGCTTGATGCGTAGAACCTGTGAAGATGGACGAAAGGATGCACGGATGAGATAAATAGTAGGCGAAAGGACCTCCTGAGAGACTGGCTCGCCTAGAGTCCCCAGTGGACCGATTTCTTGTTAGTTGGATGGGCGCGCACGTGGACGAAAGACCCCAGATGAGGATGTACTTAGCCACACGAAAGACTTCTACTTACATTGCCGTGCAGGCCGCCACGTCCGAAGAGCACGCCCAAGTCCTTGCACGTCTCCCAGATTTCCAGCACATGAGGGGTGGCCAGTGGAGTGCGCTTCTCTCGATCACCAACCAGCTCGACGCCAATCATCAGGCCCTTGCCCCGGACGTCGCCAACAATATCAAAGCGCTGCTGAAGGTCTGCCAGACTCTCAAGGAAGTAGGTGCCGACCTCCAGGGAGTTGCGTTGCAGTTGTTCCTCCTCGATGACATCCAGAACGGCGATTCCGACAGCACTGGCCATGGGGTTGCCGCCGTATGTGTTGAAGTGTAGCGCCTGACCCAGGGATGCAGCGATCTCCGGAGTAGTGACCACGGCGGCTAGGGGAAAGCCATTTCCAATGCCCTTGGCCATGGTAACGATGTCTGGTACGTAGTCGTGACCCTCGAAACCCCAAAAGTGCTCGCCAGTCCGGCCAAATCCCGTCTGGACCTCGTCGGCCACGAACAGACCTCCGTTGGCGCGGACTAGGTCGGCGGCCCGTTTGAGGTAGCCCTTGGGAAACTGGACCGTGCCACCCACGCCTTGAATGGATTCGGCGAACATGGCCGCAACCTTGCCGCGCGGCAGCGAATACTTGAAGGTCTGCTCCAGCTCATTGTAGTAGGCGTCGCCCGCGTTGCAGCCTTCCTGGCATTCGCAGTTGCGGGTAGTTTGCACGGGCGAGTCCCGACAGGCTGACCCGCCCCATATGCCCTGGTAGGGGTCAGGGTTCATCACATGTACCAGTCCGTTGTTGACTCCCGGCAGCGGGAAGCGCCATGTAGAGTGTGCCGTCAGACCCATTGTGTACGGCGACATGCCGTGGTAGGCATTTCGGAAGGAGAGAATGTCCTGGTTGCCTGTATGCAGCCGTGCCATCAGCATAGCCAGGTCGTTGGCCTCCGAGCCGGAGTTCACGAAGCACACGCTTTTCAGGTTGCCAGGGAACTTCGCCACCAACCTCTCGGCGTACTCGTGGATCTTGGGGTGCATGTATATGTTCGTTGTGTGCCATAACTTGGCGATCTGCTCGCTCAGTGCCTGATTTACTTTGCTGTGTAGGAATAAAACGGATATAGGCGATAAGGATCTCTGAAGTAATCATTAAATCATTTCTCATTCATCCAATAAAAGTCAAGTAAGAATGCTTTAATCAATTGATCTCGACTGCGAGATACTCGGTAACGAAAGCAATGTTTTTTAGTAGCAACACCAGCCGAAATTGCCTTGAAGGACGAGGCTCTCCTGAGCTATTACTCCAGGCTACTTTATAAATAAACGTTATAGTAATAACTTGGTTCTATTATTTAATATTTATTTTAGGAAGCAAGGACTAATTAGCAGTCGACTCGTTTTTAGTCATTATAAAACACATATATTTTTTTTTATTAATTTGGCCTGTTGATAGTACTACATATTCATCCTAGCCCAAACGAACTGAATTTTCCGGGTTCTTCCTCCTGTTTTTCAGATGAGTCTGTTATACTGTAGGTTTGATTCGCATTGCATGATTAGGAGGCTAACGAATGTCGAACATCTTAGTATAGGGAAACATCCCTTGCTAAATCAAATAATCGTTCTAAAAATAATTACAATATAGATTGTAGATTGGTCCGATGCTTTGCTCCTGTGTTGGCGTTTAAAATGAAGGACTACTTTCGGGTTTCGGGATGAAAAAGGATTTCGCTGCAAGGCAACAACGCAACAAATTACTACACTCACAGTCCCGAACATTGCTCTTCAAACTATACTCAAACATCTTTCGAATAGATCTCAAATCATAGACTACAGCATTTCTTACTTGCTTATGTTGCTTACGGGTGACAATGTCCCACGGACACAGTGACTATGCCGCCAAACATGTCCAGGTATCGTCGTCCCTCGTGGTCGTAGAGCCATTGCATATGTCCTGCATGGATGACGAGAGGTTTCTTAAAGTGCGCCAGCAAATTGGGCGTTAGGTGGGTGCGACGCGTTTCGAGTATCTTCTGGTAGCTGGGGCCGTCGTATGCGGCCTGATTATGATCACACTCGGGCATTCCGCTCTGGCCATCATTCCTCGTGACTGCAGCCGTCGTCGAATGCAGTTTGGAGCTCCAGCTCTGGCCGGTAGTGGATCGCAGAAGGACCCGTTTAGTATGAGCTAAAAAATAATAAGTTGAATATTTAAAATGAAAGCGTTTCTAAAAAAGCAAGAAAATACTGAACTAAGTTTTAACGGAGTATATGTACATATCTTCTATGTATTGCCGAGAATTCGTTTTGGATAGCTTTCATTTTATGGAAATATCCTCGTAAATTAAGCGAAATGCTAATTAATTGGGACTGGGGCTTTGGCCTGTTGGAGTGCAAGAGCAAGGTTGAAAACACAAATGAAGGGAAATTTACAACGAGTATTGTGATTAACTAACACAAAAAAACTACATAAATAATTTGTTTGTCACCCGACACCCATTGAATAGGATTGGATGCTGAGAATCTGACTGGGGCTATCGATGTTTATGAAGGTGCATCAGTTTCCTTTTAATAAACTGCGAATTAAGAGTAATAGTCATCCAATCCGATCTGTTCCGTATATATGTGTGTATATTAACTGCACTATATTACATATGTTTATCCTCTATGGGCATTCTTATACCCTTGCAGGGTATTATAATTTAAGTCAGAAGTTTGCAACGCAGTGAAGGAGACGTTTCCGACCCTATAAAGTACATATATATATTCTCGATCAGCATCAATAGCCCAGTCGATCTAGCCATGTCCGTCTGTCCGTTTCTACGCAAACTAGTCCCTCAGTTTTAAAGCTATCTGAATGAAACTTTGCATAGAGTCTTCTATATACTCTCACTGCTATATATGTCGGAACGGGCCGGATCGGACGACTATATCATATAGCTCCCATACAAATGTTCGATAAATTTTTAGAAAAAATATTATAACTTGGCTGTTTTTCAATAGTTATGCATCATTTTTGAGATATAGCGTTTTTATATTATTCCAGAATTTTGGTAAAAATTTTATGAAAATCGAACCACTATATCTTATAGCTGCCAAAGGAAGGATCGGGAAATTAATCGAAAAAATTATAACTTCGTTGTTTTTCAACGTATTTTAATCTACTTTGACACATGAGCTTCTGGTATTATTTCAGAATTTTGGTATAAATTTTATGAAAATCGGACGACTATATCTTATAGCTGCCGTAGAAGCGATCGGTAGATGTAGAGAAAATGTAAAGGTGTGAATGTAAAACTGTAACTGTCAAACTGTAAACATAATAACTATAGGTACAATGTAATGAAATAATATCTGCAAGGGTATACAAACTTCGGCATGCCGAAGTTAGCTTCCTTTCTTGTTATACCCTTGCATTATAATTTCAGTCAGAAGTTTGCAACGCAGTGAAGGAGACGTTTCCGACCCTATAAAGTATATATATTCTTGATCAGCATCAACAGCCGAGTCTATCTAGCCATGTCCGTCTGTCCGTCTGTCTGTCTGTCTGTCTGTCTGTCTGTCTGTTTCTACGCAAACTAGTCCCTCAGTTTTAAAGCTATCTGAATGAAACTTTGCATATAGTCTTCTATATGCTCTCACTGCTATATATGTCGGAACGGGCCGGATCGGACGACTATATCATATAGCTGCCATACAAATGTTCGATATATTTGTAGAAAAATAATTATAACTTTGCTGTTTTTCAACATTTTTGCACCATTTCTTAAATATGACATTTTATGTTATTTCAGAATTTTGATAAAAATTTTATGAAAATCGGACGACTATATGATATAGCTGCCATAGGAACGATCGGAAAATGAATAGGAAAAAAATTATAACTTCGTTGTTTTTCAACATATTCTTATCTACTTTTAGAAATGAGCTTCTTTTATTATTATTTTAGAATTTTGATAAAAATTTTATTAAAATCGGACAACTATATCATACAGCTGCCATATAAACGATCGGTAAATTTAGAGAAAATGTAAAGCTGGGAATGTAAAACTGTAACTGTCAAACTGTAAACATAATAAGTATAGGTAAAATGTAATGAAACTCTGTTTTGTGAGTGTTTTCAGTATTTAAATCTATTATATAAACATCAAAACCAATCTGCAAGGGTATACAAACTTCGGCGTGCCGAAGTTAGCTTCCTTTCTTGTTTTTTATTAATTTCCCTATCGTTCCTATGGCAGGTACATATGTATATGATATAGTTTAGTTTTTTTCATAAAATTAAAACCAAAACTCTGAAATAATAAAAAATTACTATACCTCCAAGAAGATGATAATATGTTGAAAAATAGCGAAGTTATAATTTTTTTTCTAAAAAATTGTCAATCATTTCTAGCAGCTATTTGATATAGTCGTCCGATCCGGCCCGTTCCGACATATATAGCAGTGAGAGTATACATATAGAAGACTATGCATAGTTTCATTCAGTTTTAAAACTCAAAGACTAGTTCGCGAAAAAGCGGACAACCGAACGGACAGACGGACATGGCTAGATCGACTCGGCTGTTGATGCTGATCCAGAATATACATATATACTTTATAACTGTAACTGAGTTTCAAACTATTATATCAAATGTTATAATACCCTGCAAAGGTATAAAAATAGAGAAGTCAGAACGCTCATCGTTGCTTTTACATATACATATGTATGTACAGCTGTGTTCACGGAAATAGCAGTGCCCAACGACCTGCACGTTTAAGATCGGAAAATCCTGTTACAAACACTATTTTCATAATTTTTTTTTTCATAAAAGCTTAGTATATTTAATTATTAACAATACCACAATCATTTAATTTAGGTAACATAAACCCTTTAGAAGATATAGCTAATATCAACAAAAAAGGTCTATATTATGCCGATCATTGAAATAGCAGTGAAAAACTAAAATTCTTCATAAATTTAAAAATATCGTATAAGAAACCTATTTCTTCTTAAATTCTAATTGACTATGATCTAATAATTTGTTAAATAGCCTTTAGAAGCTATCATAGCCTCATACCTGGGAGGCAAGGAGTCCCCCAAGTCTTAGAAACGCTTGAGGGGAATATGGCCTCATTCCTCCTGCACAAATTGCCAAAGCTGCGGCTTAGAAGTCGGAAACTTCTTTAATACGTAGCCCTTGATGTCCCCCATAAGTTTTCGATCGGATTTATATCCGGGGACTGTGCAGGCCATGGCATTGCATCCACTTTTTCATTAAGAACCCACTCCTTGGCCACCTTGATGGTATGATTAGGGTCACTGTACTGTGGAAATGTCCAAATTAATGGCATATTTTCCTCAGGATACGGCTGCAAGACAGTTTTTAATATTTGGACATAAACATAATGGTCTTTGATCCGACAGATCATATATACGGGGCCTAAAACGTTGTATGAAAAGTATACCCATACCATGATTTTTAGGCCACCATGTTTTACTGTCTTCAGCGTGTGGTTTGGGGGGTACTATGTATTTGGAGGTCGACGGACATATTGTCTTGTCCTATTCCACCAAATAAAACCAGTTTGGAGTCATTTGTCCAAAGGATATTACGCCATTTGAATAGTGGCAGTTCAAGTGGCTATTGGCGAACTCCAATCTGGCCTTGATATGCCTTTAACCAAGCAGTGACATTTTCCATGGACTTCGCGAATCTAAAATTTATTCAATAAGTCCCCGGCGAATGGTCCCATGACTGATTCCCATGCCAATTCCCGCTCATATATCCCTAGAGGATGCAAAAGGACGAGCTTTGCTAAAGCGAAGTACGCGTCGAGCCAGTACAATTGTGGTTTTGCGAATCGTACCTCGGTTTTTTTGGGTTCGGTTCATATTTTATGATTTATAAACTATTCTAAAATAACAATTTGAAAGATTTGGAGTCTCTTTACATGTTTTGCCCTTCTTTCTAGGCTAAGTTCTCTGATACCTTTCTCTCATGGAGCAGTGAGGTCCTGCGCCCACTAAAATATTTTTTTTTGCGTTGTAAAGGTGTATTATATAATAAACTATAATAACGACCGTAATTAAACTCATTTTTTACAAAATTAATAGAAATTTCGGCACTTTTTGCGAAAGAAAATTAAATACTGCTATTTCAGTGATCGGCCAAAACGAGCTGCATATGTGAAAAAATATCAATAAAACATAAAAATAGAGCAAATCTAACGGAATTTTTTCTCGATTCTTATCTTTATGTTCCATTTAACAAAAACAATGTGCAATAGATCAGCTTGCAAAAAGGAATATGTACAAAAAAAGGTTTTGAAGTTGTTCCCTCTGTCGCACTGCTATTTCCGTGAACACAGCTGTACATACATATCCATACGTAAATGAAAGATCTTGCTATAAGACTAAGCTACTGGCTTAAGAGGTGCAAGTCTGTATCTGTATCTTCAAAAGAAGAGATTTAATCCGATTAAGTGGCTGATTTATATACCTATATATACATATATATGTACATACATATATATGTATATTGTTTTGATAGCGGACGCACGTCACGTTTCCAAAGTTTGTTTAGAGCTTATTGCATTATATGAAATACGCTATTAATAGGACAACTTCTGGTCCCACTCCAGCAGATAAGAACTGGGCCCCCCACTGACAGCCTAGGCCACTCGAATTTCTGGTGCGCTTACGACCCGAACTGTTTATTGCCACCTGCCGAATTATCAAGCGCCTTATCAGGGGATATACTAGGTTGGATTCAACGTGGTACAGGTGGTCACACAACACAACACAACACGAATAAAAGTATAAAGCTCTGATTTATATATATTTATATTTACTAAGTGCATGATGCTTCTCAATGTTGTCAATTTCACGCTATATTCTCATATTTGCGAGTGATAATCAGGCGAAGTTTAACAATATTAATGCTTATTATTATAGGTGATGAGGGGACGGATGCTTAGCCGCGGAAGAATCATTCAGAATCAACTGGAGATAAGGGGTCAACGGTGGATAAAGAAACCAGCTGATGTCAGGGATGCAGAAAAGTGCCTTCTTCGCCCAGTTAACTCACCTACAAGTCGGTTGGGCATCATTTTCAGTTCCAAGTTCCTTCCCGATGTCGGTCTCTCTAATAAATTTTCTTTACAATTCTTTGCTTGGCTTATTTGATGAACGAACTAAGATATAGTTGTCGATCTCGCACGCAGGCAGGCTAAACTGCGTCCGCGCGTAACCACGTCTACGAAGCAACTGGTCGAAGAGCCGCCGACACACGAACGACGGAGAAAGCTCTGGTAACGGAAAAAGCTTTCGAGCGACGTTATCAGGTGGGAGGGCAAAGTCAAGGCTGCGTGAAAGCGTGTGTTAGTTTACCCCCCGGCGTGGGGAAACGCTCAGCAGGGACGACCATGCAGCGGGTTATCTTCTAATGTTTTATTTCAATTCTGGTCTGCTATGTACTGAAGCACAAACTACTGAAGTGCACAGGTAATCTTTTGTTTACAACAAAAAAATATATATCGCGTTTATCGCTGCGCCGATCGTTTAATTCTTGGCCCAGTGCGTCGTCTGTTTTCTGTTGCAATGGCTCAACATTGTGGCATGTTTACCCGTAAATATTCTGCAGGCTTGTCGAATATCATTAAGTTATTTTATATATATTTTGCCTTATCAACCAACATCACGAATTTGCGCTTTGATTCTAACATTGTCTCTTTCCGCCCAGCATTTCTTAGCCCAATGCAACAGAATATATGTATTTGTATGGACACGAGCCCGCTAAAAACAAGCTCTAGCACAATGATTACACAAACAACAATAGCCGAGCTGAATTCATGAGTCCCCTTCGGGCGTTCAGTTTGAGTCGCTGTACAGATCGGGACTCCGAGGCGTTGTCGTTGGCTGGACTGGCTGCTCCAGATTGGCAGCCATCTGGCGCAGGTTTTCAACTCCAGTCAGCAGTTGCCTGCAAGAAATCGAGTGTTTTTGAAAATTCTCGGCTTATTATACCGACCCTGACTCACCTTAGGTTGTGCTCCGCGGTGTCGGCTGCCCGGACCAGATCCCTTGATAGCTGACGCGCTCTAGAAGATCGCGCAGAACTGCTGCCGCTGTTGGTTGCGCTGCCAGGATTGGCTGTTGAAACTCCGCCAGCAGCGCCATCGAAGCTGCCACCGCTTCGTAGGGTAATGAGTTCTGCCTGTAAAAAATTATATTATATTATAATTAGTAGCCTTCTCATGGCGCCGAAAATGTATGTAGGAGAATCAACCTGCAGCTTAACTCTTTCAATTTTTTGAATAGACTTCCAAGCTAAAGTTAAGCTCAATATCGACTGACATCAATTTCAGTGTCTTATGTGTCCTGGTTCAAGAACTACAGGCTACGCAACACAAAATTTAAAAAGTATTACAAAGGAAATAATATTTTCATGTGTTTCTTTTTAATTCACAATTACCTATTAAGTTGTTAAACTTGGTTTTAGGATAAAATAAATATTTTAATGCTTTTTAACACTTTTTTGAAACTACCTTTTTCCCTCAAATATTCCTCATATGTTCCTAATATATTCCTCAGATATTCCGCATATATTTTTCATATATTTCACACAAATATTCCTCATAAATTCCTGATATATTCTTAATTTATTCTTTATATATTCCTCATATATTTGTTGTTTATTTCTCATATGCACAATGAATTTGGGCAGCTGACTACCGGAAAATTAAGTGTAAAAAATATATATATATATATATATATATATATATATATATATATATATATATATATATATATATATATATATATATATATATATATATATATATATATATATATATATATTTCTGCGAAAGGTTAAAAAAAAATTAAATAACGGTAGTTAGAGGCTAATAAATACAAGGTTGCGTATATGCAACAGCGGGGATGAGAATGTTTTTTTTGCCTTGTAAATGAAAAAAAAACTAATTCGCACTTTTATAAAGAAGAAGTACAATTATAAAAATATATAAATTCATGGTAGTATGCATATACTTTGGAGCAAGATCACCGCCATTCCCTCTGTAGGAAACAAACTATCTCATCTATCAGATCTTATAAGCTATAGCTATTACATTTCGTAAAAACATTCATATTTATATGTAGTAGTTTAAGATTGCTTTACATTTTTGAACTATATAAAATGTATACAATTTCAGTACAAATTAACTGCTTACAAAAAGAATTTGCAATTTAATTGAATTCACTAATTTTGTTCAAATTTCAGAGAAATTTATTATATTTGTGTGATTTTTATTTAAAGAACCTTTGCAAAGAAGCGCAACTTTACAAAAACGCACACTGTTCAGTTCGTACGCTCCAAAGATCGCCGCTGACACACATTTAGCCTTACTTTTATAAAATAAATAAAATAATCGGAATCTTCGAATTCAAAACCTTTAAAATATGTTGGTATTCTTAGCCCCAGTCACTTTTTCCCTCAGACTCACCTCTAATTGGGCTATTTGGAGCCTTAGGCGCTGCGTGGTCTGTGTGCTGGTTGCCAAGGTCAATGCTTCCCGTCGCTCGGCGGCTTCTGAGAGCTGGACCAACTGCTGCTCAAATTCACTGGCCCGTCTGGTCTGCGCATTTAGCTCCACGCGCACATCCTGCAATTCGCGCTGCAGGCGATCGTTCTCCTGACGCAAGGCAGACAGTTGCAGCGTTCCGCCAACATCCTGGGGCGGCGAGTCAATAGAATTGGAGGGCAGCCCAATAGCTACGTCAGCCAGGCGTTGTGACGAATGAATTATGGATCCATCGGACAGGAAATCAGGCAGCACTTTGACGGTGGGGCCAGCAGGCGGGTCGCCGAGAGGACCTGGGAGGGCGACAGCACTGGGCAAGCCCATAGACGCGAGGGCAGATGGCAAGAGACAGGCTGCGGCACTCGGTGCTTGCGCGGCGCCCAAGGGGGTGTTTGGGGGAGAGCTAAGCTGCGCGTCCTGGCCAACACACCAAGCGTCCGGCAGATGGTCCTGCACGAAGTCGGGCAGAGTAGCCGCACTGCCAGCGCCTCCACCAGCTCCCGCACCGGTCGCAAGAGGCGCATCTAAAGGCAGATCAAGTTTCATTTTGGAGCCGCTAGATAGAACTAGCCGGTTGGGGCGCTGGTCCCGGTTTCCAGACGGCCGACGTCGTGGCGAGGAGGAGGGACAGGACACTTGCGGCATCTCGTAGCTGGAGTAGGAGCGCGGTACGTAACGCGTCCCAGAAGAGGGCTGCAGGTTGGATGCGGCCGATGGGAAAATATCTTTGGAAAAACAAGTCGTTATTAATATTATCGAAGAGCAGCGCAGACACAATTACCGTCATCTATCCGTTCGTCATAAAGCCTGCTGTTGCGCACCTGCGCTAGTGTCACATGGTCATCATCGTCGTCGTTGTCCAGGGCGGCGTGTAACACTCCATGGCCCACTCCTAGCCGCTGGTCCGGTCGTAACCGGTGTTGAGTTCCTCCTCCGCAAGCCGCAAACTCAGCCAGACTCGCCTGCGAGTCGAAAGAGCTGAAGCGCGGAGAGCGCTTCATTTTTGATGAGGAGCTGCTTCCATTTACATCTGGGGGCTGCATGTGGGAGGCGGAAGCCGATTGAGGCACTTTGGGCCGCGCCCCGGTGGAAGTCTGCACCGCTGCTGTCGCATCCACAGAAGTCACGGTGCTCGAAGGAGCAGTCACAGTGCCTGTGTTGCTTAGAAAGTGCTTAAAGGAAAACGAGGACGTGGAGGTAGCTCCTGTCCCAGCTCCGCTCGTGGAGGCCCGCATGCTGGTGAAGTCTCCACTGCTTCGGTCGTTGAGACAGAGGTCCGCCACGAGATCGTTTACTCCCAGCGTAATGGATGCGGGCTCTTTTAAAGAATCGGTCGCCACAGTCAGGACCGCTGGCTGGGCGCTCTGTGGCAGCCGCTGCTCCTGCTGCTGTGGGGTGGTCGTGGCCGTGTCGCTTGCATTGCCGTTGTTCCCATTTGCCATTTAATTGAGAACGCTCTGGAGAGTGGGGAGCGCTAGGCGGTTCTTAAGGCCGTGGTTGCCTGCCCTGTTGTCGTCCTGCTTGGGCGGTGCGTCAATGTCCTAGCTGTCTACTCGACCTGCTGATTCTGTACCTTCGGTGTTTACTTTCTCTCTTCCAACCGAGTTATTTTCGCTTTTCACTTGGGCTTATTTATGCAGTGTTGGATAGCGGTATTAGGCGATATGTCATTTTACAATACAGGCTGAGTGATATAGTGCGAGCTATCGATTGGCACTCGAAGCGCCGAATTTGAATCTAAAAACAGGCAATAGAAAAAATGTAATACAAAGCTCGCAAGGTTTCCCCGTGATTTACATAAAGTTCAAAATATGTAACACGCACAGTCAAGACAAGATATTTTTCTACGTCGGTTCGTGTGTTAGTTATTTGTTGATAAATACAATAAATAAACAGATCTAAGATAATAAAAAATAAAAATTTTACAAAAATTGGAAATTATTTGTCATTACAGCTACTGTAAATAAAACGGAATGACTGAATGACCGAAAATATCGGCAACTGCAAACAATTTATATATTTTCAGTGTAGCTAAAGAGTTCTCTAAATCAACATCAAATATCGGCAGATATCGCGATACATCGCCGATATTTTCAGTAATTCAGTCAAGGGAATACCCTGATATATTATAAATTTCACACATTATTTTACAAATAAAATAAAACTTAAATACAATTAAAATAAATGCATGAAGTTTGTCAAAGCAAAAACCTTGAAAGAAATTTATTAACCGAAACTGTTGATCCCATTTTTCGAATTGTGCTGTAAAATGAGTCACAGATCACTGATTCTGGTGTTCTGTTGAACGCGGCCATTATTATTAGTATATTTCCGGTATATTTTACAAGTTCAATATACCATTTCGTTATCGGATACGCGGTCACACTTTTACCAGTGTTGTTAAGTTCGCAAAGCCCAGCCATAGTAAACAAAACGCGACGTTGGCTCAGCTATCCAATTAAACGCATTTTAACGTAATAAACGCAAACGAACAAGTGAAACCAACTAACTGGTTGCCGCACCGCGTATTGAGGCCAAGTTTCAAGAAGCGGAAGGCCCCGGGTCAACTGTATCCTAATATTGATACATGAAAAATTCTGCGTAGCAAACAAACCGGTCACGGCTCGTATATGTATATAGCCACAGACACCAGTGCACCCACGTACATACATGGACGGGGAAAAAGCGTCGCTGTGCATTTCGTCTGACAATTGCACTCCGTGTGTCTGAAGAAATTGTGCTTAATTGCCATATTCATTTATTTATAATTCTTCGTTGGCCAGCGGGCGGCCATATGTGATCGCTGTGTCCCTTTTCGGCCCGAGCCTCTGCTGCGGGGGTAACAGCGCACCACCCCGTTAACCTTGCCTGTGTGTGCGAAAGTGGTGGTGGTGAACCGAAGCCAAAAGCTGAATCTGAAATGTTTCCCGTTCTCGTATTTTGAATCGCCCGTGCAAACAGCCTTACAACGTTCTCTGCGGCCCGTTTACCCCGCACCATTCTTAACGTGTGTTCCACTTTTTATTGCAACCTCCGCCCACAACGCGGCAGCGACTCGACCCGCTGTCCTGATTTCCTCAACACCAAGGCAAGTGCAACCAGGACCGTTTTTTCGGGGCGTATGCTCAGCCCTGTCCTGGCGTTTGCGGGAGAGAGGCGGGATAGCTGATCGGAGGACACTGAGTATTTGCAATATGTTTGGGAGCTGTGGGAGGTAAGCACTGAAGCCTGTTCCGATTGGATATTCCTTTTACCCACTGCAACGTGTCTGCTGCGCTTCGAACGTGGAAAACAGCATTGTTTCGGTCGTGGTCCCATTTATTGCTTGTCTCCTCTTGCTATCATTCCTCCTATTTCTCGTTACCTTTTTCTCTCGTCGCGTATTTTGCTGGCCTCTTGGCTTTTCTCCCTGCATTTCCACATGCGTCGGGGGTTTTCCTCTCACCTTGCACATAGGAGCGTATAAAGTTGTGCTGGCTTAGCAATACGTAAACTGAAATCTTACTATATTAATTTATCGATCTCTGCACTGTGGCATACGTCCACGATTTTGTATCGCAAATATATTAACAGATTTGAAATCTGACAAATATATGTCAGAGACATTAAAATCAATAGTCTCCCAATTAAGTGGCAACATGCATTCTAATTGTATTGTTTTTATACCAATCCTATAAAGTATACATATTCTTGATCAGCATCAACAGCCGAGTCGATCTAGCCATGTCCGTCTGTTCTGGACAATTCTCTGATGCCAAAGGCGACATTTGTACGCAATTAAACTAAACACATTATTTAAACTTTACAAAGTTTGAAACTTATAGCTCTTGGTTATAATTGGTGCTAAGATTTTGGACAATTGTTCGTTTTGAAGATAATTACAAAGTTAGCTTATTCAATTAAATACCATTTTGTGTTTAATATTGTATTAATAAATATTTAAAGGTATATGCGTAATAGGAAATCTCCCAAGTACCCTCCAAAAAATTTGGTTTGTGGTGTACATTCCAACTGTCCACTGATTCATCCGATATCAACAAAAATAATTGAATTCTTTTATCAAAATAGGAAGTTAAAATCTCGATTTTTGACTCAAAAATTAAGTTACTTTGGAATGAATGTTCCAAATTTCAAAACGATAGTAGATTTTAGGCTATCGTGTACACCAACTTTCAAAATGGATCTTTTCAGGAGAGCGCTTTAAACTTTTAGATACTACGCATAACTTCGTCAGTTTTGTTTATGATCGATGTGAAACTTAGGCAAAGTATTCATAATATCTTGGACATTCATAATAAAAAATATACGAAAAAAAAGCTTCCTTAAATATTGAAAACAAGAGAGATTTTCCCATTTCTCCTGTTAGTTTTCTTTTATGTTGTCCGAATGAATCGATTCTTAATTATCCAATTACAAACTGCAACTGCAGTCCCTGCATTAATGTTGTTAGTCTTTTTATTAATTATTTTTCTTTTTGTACGTCGGTTTAAGATTTTTTAAATTTAAATGTAATAAAGAAAATAAGTCACTTACGCTTTAAGTAGTAGTAGTACAGCTTTCTTACTTGTTTGGGAGATAATTGTTCGATTTGCCCCATTGTACACCGGCCTTGCCTCTCCTTTTTTGCTTCTTGGCATTTTGTGTACAAATTATGGTGCTCTGCTCACGCTTGTTGTTGTTTTTAGCTTTTATGGACAGTGCATTCCCCTCGATTGTTTTTGCTGCCATTATATACACATACTGTAAGTGTGATAAATATAGACTTTAATTTTATTTTCGCTGAGGTTGGTTAATATTTTTGATGAATATTTGAAAATTGGATTGGCCTCCATTTATTAAATGATGATCCCGTCGCGTAACCCAGCTGTAAGCCGTGAAATGTGGCAGGAAAAGTAAAAAGTGGTCGGTGGTTCACGTGCTGGGACTAGTACTGCAAATTGCTACCCATATTAGCAATAATACCCTTGCAGGGTATTATTTAAGTCACAAGTTTGCAACGCAGAGAAGTATATAAATTCTTGATGAGCATCAACAGCCGAGTCGATCTACCCATGTCCGTCTGTCCATTTCTACACAAACTAGTCCCTCAGTTTTTAAGCTATCTGAATTAAACTTTACATAGTCTTTTGATTATTTTCACTACGATATATGCATACATGATACATACATATGTAACATAGCTGCCATAGAAACAATCAAAACATTTTAAGAAAAATATAACTCGCTGTTTTTCAACATATTCAACAATTTCTGAAGGAGAATCAGAATTAGTTTCTGGATTTAATGTAGAATATAGAAGAGAAGGAATTGCTTTAACAAATTATACTTTGAGATATGGTCGTTATGTATTATTTCAAAATTTCGGTTTTATTTGATTGAAAATCGGACGATTATATCAAGTAGCTCGCATAAAACGATCGGCAGGTAAAAAATTAAAAGGTGTGAATGTAAAACTTTGACAGTAAACCTTTATAATTATGAATGATCTAATTGGAAACAGCAAGGATATACTTTTTATACAATATAAACTTCGGCATGCTGATGCCTTGACCTGAGCTTTTGCTGCTCCCTAGAAAACTTTACATTTTTTTCGGAAAAACGTAGTCCCCTGTTGCTTTTTTATCTGATTGCCAAGTCTTACCTTGATCAATGCATCTACCTTGAGGTGTACATAGAAAAGGAAAACATTAGAAGACAAGATAAAAAATATTTACTTCAATGACATAATTAACCTGATATTTAAAAATCTTTTTTAAAACGTTTAATCTATAAGTACGTAATCCTCACGAAATGTAAATTATCACTAAATATTTTGATATATACATATTTGTTTCAGGACAAGAATTTAAAAAAGTGTTGTAGTGTTGTAGTATTTATTGTATTGCTTTCGCCTCACCTAATGTATCCTGTTTATTCATTGCATCAGCTCTGTGATTGGATCCCGGATGTGCCCCCGGCAGGACCAGAACGCTAACTGCCAGGCCTAAGCAATTGGACAGTGGCCAGATGTCGTCTAGCAACGGTGGACTCAGTAACGCCACAAATGGCCGCAGCGGCAGTACCGGCAGCGCGAACATCAATCTCAACTTTAACAGGCAGGACCGAACTGCTGGAGAGGAGACTGGTGCAGCAGAAGTCATCACATCCACGTCAATTACACACAAGGCATTGCCGGAGCTAAAGACCCAGAGGAGCAACAGTGCCTGTCAAGCACACGATTCGCTCTCCACCTTTCGCCGCAGAGGTCAGCCGGAAAAATCTCCAGAGAAGCCCTATAGCTATGCGGCTGCCCAGAGCCGGTCCTTGGACAAGTCGCCTAAGGAGGGCCACTTGGTCTACTGTGAGGGCCGGCTGCATTCGGGTCAGTTAGAGTCGCTGATCGCCCACATGGTGCCAACCCACGAGTACTATCCGGATAAGGGTTTTGTGTTTGCATTTCTGCTCAGCGCACGGCTGTTTGTACGCCCTCACGAGCTATTGGCCCAGATTTCGAATACCTGGGAGCAGCAACAGCAGGATGTGGGGGCCGGCAGCGATGTCGTGGACGATGTCGGACAGATACCCGGACGCCAGCAACTTCTTAGCATTAACTCGGCGTCGCCACTGACCCAGCGGAAGGGTTCTGCGCTAACGGCCGCGCCTGGTTCGGAGCTGGAGCCGCGACCACAGCAAAGGACCAATGTGCAGCGTTCCGCCCAGCACTGCATTCGGCTACTTTCAGAATGGATAGAGATCTTTCCGTATGACTTCAGAGATGAGCGGCTGATGCAGCAGGTGCGGATCCTGGCAAGAAAGTGTGTCTACATTGACAACTCCCTGGGCAAGCAAGTGTCTCGAATTCTTCAGCTGCTCGTCTCCCGGCTGACGGCCCTCGAACAGTATGAGGAGTTTCTGCAGACTCTTAGCTCTGAGGAGGCGCAAAGTCAGCAGCAGCAGTTGCAGCATCCACAGCACCACCACAACCACCATCATCACTTGCAGAATGCCTTCCAGTCTTTTCTGGGCAATTCATCTCATGCCAACGGGGCCGGAGGCATGCCTTCCAGTGGGGCCCCTAATTCCTCTTCTAGCGCTCAAACCTCCTCAGCCTCTGCTTCAAACTCTAGCTCCACAACGCCTCAGCCGGACGAAGTGTTCGGTATCATGGACATGTGTCCAAGTTGCGCCCATCTGGCGCACCAACTGACGGCCATCGAGCTGGAGCGTCTGTCGCACATCGGCCCAGAGGAGTTTGTTCAGGCGTTCGCTAAGGACTACCAGTCGCAGGGCAACGACGGTGGCAAGGAGGGCAGCCGGAGTAAGGGTAGTGGAAGTTGTGGCGGATCCTTGAACGACATGAAGAAGACACGCAACCTGGAGTCGTACGTGCAGTGGTTCAATCGACTCAGCTACCTAACGGCTACAGAGGTGGTAAAGGTTCGTGGGCAATAAGGCCTCATTTAGCTGGATATTAATGTACTTTTTTTTATGTACCCCTTTCAGTATCCGAAGAAGAAACAGCGTGTGCGGGTCATCGAGTATTGGATTGAGACGGCCCGAGAGTGCTTCAACATTGGCAACTTCAATAGTCTGATGGCCATAATAGCAGGTCTAAATCTGGCGCCCATAGGCAGACTCAAGAAGACGGTAAGCTGGTCGTCTGTATATTGCGACTCTGGGTCTTAATTTGCTCCAATTTCAATCATTCTCGGCAGTGGGCCAAAGTACAATCGGCCAAGTTCTCCGTGCTGGAACATCAAATGGATCCAACATCAAATTTTAACAGTTATCGCTCCACGCTCAAAGCTGCCATGTGGCGATCCGAGGGGGCCACAGAGGAGCGCGAACGCATAATCATTCCATTTTTTAGTTTATTTGTTAAAGATCTGTACTTTTTGAATGAGGGCTGTTCCAATCGGTAAGTAGTTGCTGCAGTTTCGTACGCTTCCTACGATTTGCTAATATCGTGCCCTCTTCACCTGAACAGTCTGCCTAACAATCATATCAACTTCGAGAAGTGTTCTCAGCTGGCTAAGCAAGTGATGGAGTTCAACGAGTGGAAGAAGGTTAGCTGTCCCTTTGAGAAGCTGGCGAACGTCATAGCCTATCTGCAGCACAGCGCAGTGCTCAATGAGAACACTTTGTCGATGGCCTCGTTTGAATGCGAGCCGCCGGAAAATACGGAGGAGAAGGACCGCTACAAGACGGTGAAGGCGGAGACGAAACAGCAGCTGCTGCAACAGCTGCAAGAGCAGCAACTCCAATCGCAGTAACCGCCATTTAGATGGTTGACTAAGCTACGCTTAAGTGCTTGCCATGATTATTTTTCAATTAGATTCGTAAGTCCGTTATACCGGTCGGAATTCGCTAGCGTAAGATGATGCAAAGGATGAGAACAAACTTGAGGCGACGAGTAGGAAAGCACTGCCTAGTGCTGGGCTCCTTTCTGCAAAAGAAAAGCTTCTGAAGCTTCAGTCATATATTGCCAATAATCTGGCTTACTTAGTGATTTGGTTTCCAGACTTCTTGCTAAGCTCGGCAGGTGCCCGGAAACAGCTTCGAAATGTTGCCAGTATTTTAAATTATTTAATTAGACTAGTGCAAATGGTGGCAGATAACAAATGTACTTAAAGCATCTTATTTTTAACAGCTAACGCAAGCAACTTAATTGTTAATGTGTATTTTGGTATTGCAAAAACATTTTTTATGTCATAATTTATGTTCAAAAACTTTTGACAACGCTGCCCGGGTGCGCGGTATTCGTAAGTGACCAGTATTTATATTTATACTTATATGTACACAATTTTATAGCTAAATGAAATATTTTTAATGCTCCCCAATAACCATGTATTTCCGGGTATATTCCGGCGGATAGTACGGTGCATCAGTCCCGAGGCTTTTTTGCATCAGTAACACTTAACACCAAGTAAGCAGTCGCTGAGCAAAAACACGTTCGAATAAGAAAGGCCGCACAAGTGACTTTTCACTATCAACATTGTGCGATTGCTGAGGAAATCAATGATATTTACTATAAAGAAACTAAATACAACATAATTGATTCAAAACTGCTTTCGAATAAAGAAATGAACGAAAAACATCTCATAAGTATAAAAACAATTGGCATTTTGTTTGATTTATTTGTAGTTTGTAAGTTAACGCAGAGCAACACGGGTCCGGGGCACAGACACAACAAATAAAAAACAATTATGCATATATGAATTCTCAGTAAAATGTATTCATTTATATTTTAAATATGTATATGTTAACTAAAAGCTTTTTCCCATTCGCACGCGACAAAAACAGAAGTCAGTTTCGCAGCGATCTGTTTAACAACGGATTTCTGAAACAGGCCTGTGAAAAAGGTGTCGAAGTGATAAAAAAAGGCATTCGGCAGAGGAATCTAAAATAAAAATCTATAGTTTTATAGTGGATTTTGAAGCTCCGCGAAGGTTGCTGGAGACATCCTAGCCAAATCCCTGAACTTTATCATGGTAACTTTAAGTTGCTCCATTGCTGATATAATCATTGTTCATTTTCGTAAATTTGTCAAGCTGTCAAAATTTAACGTTCTTGCGTTAATTTCGATTTCGATAGGTAACTCAGGTCGGTGTAAGTATGAAATTAGAAACAAAGTAATACCTCGTTTTGAGAGTTGTTATCCTTTTTATATCCTTGCAGGATATTATAATAATTATAGTGACTGTCATGGTACAATTAAATTTTTATCATGGTGACTGCTACAATTTTTACTGACAATAATCAAAACCATTGCATTATTATCGTCTGAGGGAAATGTATTGTTCGCTTTGGTGGAAACATACCATTTCAGACATAAAATGGGTTGGGACTTTGCTGGATTCTTAGTCGAACTGTAAACCAGGGAATGTGTTCCAGATAAACACGCCCTGCTTTTTTTATTAAAGTCGATTAAAGTCGTGCCTAAAAAGTTTGGTTTATCGATAAATCAGATCCTGACAGATGCGAACACGAAGAAACTCGCACTTTGTTGTTTCGAAAGCCATGTTTAGTGGTCCGGACCGCTGTTAACGCGGCAAAACGAGGCGAAAAAAATCGATTGTGTCCGTGTGATTATTTTTGTTTTGGTTTGGCAGCCGTTTTCGTCGACCCGCTCGGCTCCGGCCACATGACTCATGCCAGGCTGCAACAATGAAAAACCACAATAAGTACGCCAAGTTGCCCCAAGACCTAGATCTGAGTTTTCACAACGATTTGGACCTGCTGCCGGACACTGCGGCCGACATCGACCTGGAAATAAATGCGGACGACTCGGATGTAGCCGCCCTGAACCTGAACGTGCCCCCGGCTCTGGAGCTGGGCGAAGAGGAGACTGTCATCTTAACTGGCGAGTCGACGGCAGGGGCCGCGCGTAGACAGCACTTTGAGCCGTTAGAGTTCCTGGGCAAGAACAAAATCTGCGGTTTGGGCAGCGACAGTGTCGTCGAGGTGAGTTTGTTCTGCGGCTATCTGCCCTATGGCGGTTGCAACTTGTGGCTGGTTGGGATTCCATTTTCCCAAAAACGTCTCCAGCGAAATGCAAAGAATGTGAACCAGCAACAAAGCAAAACAAAGGGCAGCAGGCTGCGAACAAGGCAGCCATGGGGGTGGGTACTGAACGAAGGCGAAAAAATCGATAAGCGCCAACGAAATATTCTGCCATTTGTCGCAGCCCCGTTTGCCCACCAGGACGGTGGGCAGCAGTATGCGCGGACCGGGAGCGGGTTGCAAGTTATCGCTAATGCAAATGTGCTCCGACATTAATGGAATTTGTGTTGACGCGGTCGGGCGCAGATTATGTATGTGGAAGATAAGAACTATGTAGCTAGCTTTACAAGAAGGCCAATGTTCCGTAACGAAGGATTTCGGTGCCAATCAGTACATTTTTCAAAAATTTGTGACGAAACAGCTGGTAATAGCTAGATCATTAATGGAAATGCCATAATAACACAATATTTAGTTATTTTTTTTGTAAATTTGTTGCTGAGGGTCCTGTGGATTATAAAAAAACAGTTGGTTTGCGGGGTACGTCGGGTTTCATTCGGTTTGTTCAATAAATATTATAATAAATTAAAAATAACTCCCTATCTTTCAGTTTTAGAGTTATCTCAATAAAATTTGGTAGATAGTAGTCGTCTAGCCTTGGTATATATGTACATATGTATGTACATATGTATGTACATATGTATGTACTTATATATAAAAGTAAGGACCAGAACATACAACTATATCATAATGATCGAAATGAAATTAAAACTTTACCGTTTGTAACATATTTTCATCTATTTCGAGACATGGAAATATTTCAAATATTACATATATGAAAAATTGTTTTATACATATGTATCTCCTATAAGATTTCATTTTTATTTGACCAAAATGGATTAATTCTTAATAATCCAATTGCAAACTACAATGGTATACAAATTTCGGCGTGTCGAAGTAAGTTGCCTTTCTTGTTTTAAATGCCTTTTTATAACCGGTACTCTAAGGGTACAAGGGTTTTATCGCTAAGTGCCAATCGAAAATGTATGTAATATCCGCATCAGCATCACCACTCTAATAAATTTAGCCACGTCCTTCAGTCCAGATCTCAGAGACAATAATAGGTAGAGGTATATTTCATCGAGGATAAATTAATTATAAAAAAGTTTTTTTTAACCATAATTTAGCTTTAAAATATCTTAATATATTTAAGGGTTACGCTTAATTTATGTGGAACTAACAAACAAAAAATTGTCGTGACTATACCTTACGTTATCTAGTGAGATAAGGCTTAAGATGTAGTGAAAATTTCAGGTGAAAAGAGTAGAAAGACACGAAAATTCAACTTTTTAACAAGACCATGTATCTATCTATCTTGAATCTATCAAAAACATCAAAAAGATCAATTGCCGATTTTCTAAGTTTTCTTTTGCCTCCACATCGACGCTTAGAATTCCCAACGGGTTCTAGGTTAGGTCTAGTAGTTGTAGCTCCTATTAAGTACTGTGGTTATAAGAAGCCATTTATGCATTAACCTTTTGAACTGGGAAAAAAGTACTCTTCATTTTCTGATCGGGAAAGATACAAATATATATAATATGTCAATAGGTTGTGGGGCTGTTTGTGAGCTCGGCTCTCGAAACACCGCCTTTTCCGATCGCTGTAGTGCTAACAAATACTTGCACCAAGTACGGATGTTTGTATGTTCCTCTGACCTCACTCTACTTAGTCTATTTTGGCCTTCTTTCTAGGGCACGTTGACCTATTTTTACTTCTCGTTACCAATTAAAGTGCATTCATGCCCTTTCGTCTGGTACACCTCATTATTGTTGGGTTACACCGATATAACCCAAATTAGTAGAAACGAGCATTCATTGCTAGCTTAACATGTGTATATAGTATATACTATATACATAGTTTGTATATAGTATATACTATATACATAGTTGTTCTTATGGTTTTACTAAGTTTCATATTGAGGCCAAGAGACTGAGCTGAGGTGTACCTGGTGTTGGGCGGTCTTTTGAGAAAGGAAAAATGCTGGGGCCGATGTCGAAGCTTGGGCGCAACACTGTCACATGGCTCCGTTGCGACATGCAAATTTATTCACAAAATGCCTTTGTGCAAAATGAATTTATAACACGGCCACGGAAATAGAATCCAAACCCCTTGCAAATGAATTGTTGTAAAATGCTGAGATACATTTAAGAGCACTTATTTTAATTTTAATATATAGACTGCATTAAACTGAGCGTGCTGGAAGGATGTTAAAAAGGAAAGACGGAGGTCTGCTAAGCAAAAGAACGAAAAGTGTTCTTGCTGAATAAATTTATTTATTTGGATAACTTGACTATGTGTAAAGCTTTGCCAAGTTTAAGACGCTTTCAACAATCGATGGATGACAGCTATCAGGGTTTAAATTCACGGTTAAAAGGCCCTACCGCCGCCTTGCAAAGGGAAGACCATAGGATTCCTTGTTCTGGTTTCTGCAGTAACTAGATGATAAGTCAAAACCCACGGATGCTCATATTTTGAACATTTTTGCAACAGAATTCCAAAAAAATTTAACTAAAATTTCATTTTAACTAAGTGTTTATCCCCTTCAAGAGCAAATACAATCAAATAAAATTCAATGTAAAGAAATAATTTCAAACGTGATTTCGGAATGGTGATGCAGAAGTTAAATACTCTTCTATATTTCTTCTGAAAATTTATAAATGCGTGATCAGCAACATCTGACTAGCCGATGACCATTTCTAAAACTATAGAATCAAATGTAAATTCAACGATATACCGGTTATAAAAGTATGCTATTGACCAATCTTGACGAACATTTTTCAGTATTCCTTTTTCTCGTTTTTTTTTTATTAAAAAAGTTTGAGAAAATGAAAATATATTGAGATAAAATAAAATTGTATTTCTGTTTCCAAAAAGGGCCATGAAATGAGATTAGATTAGAACGGTCAGAAAATCATAGCGCCGTTTACAAGGGTATACAAAAATAATCTTTTTATTTATTTATTATTTAGAATAGCAAATATCTGCCATAAAAAACCTATATCCTTACCTCTGACCGGAGAAGGAGTGTTTCTTAACAATATGCTCCGACTCACATCAGGTGACCAGAGGCAAAGATAGGTGTCTTAGGATATTATTTTTATTAAAATCTAACAACAAATCTAACAAATCGTTGTAAAGAGAACATAAATCGCGAAAAGGATCATGTGCCTCAAAATTTGTTTTACAAATATCCAAAGCTATAGGCCGAAAGTAACGTGATGGCCTTGAAGGAAGGGATTAAGAAGTTGACTGGAAAAAATGTGTTCATTGATTAGTTTATAAAAGGAACATCACGCTGTGGTAGGTCCGACGATCCTTAAGAGAGGACAGTCCCCAAAGGCGTATTCTATCGGGATAAGAATGTCTGTCTAAAACCCGAAAAGCGAACATAAGGAATTGTTTCTGTACCGATTCAATAAGGTCTTGATACTTTGTATATGTAGAGATATATAGAAGTTTTGTGGTGTAGGGGTCATCAAATTCCTTAAACCATCATTTTACAAAAGCAAAAATCCCTTTAGCTTTACATACAATTATACAGATGTGATCGGTGAAGCTCAAGTTGTGGGTAAACAGAACTTCAAGATCCGTTACAGAATGGATACGTTCAAGAACACTCGTCCCAATGGAATAATTGGCATGGAAACAAACAAGAGTTGTTAAGAAACAACAAATTGTGAGTGCTACATATTAAAAAAAAATTACCTTTTTTATATGGGAATCATAGGTTATAGCCTTGTGTCTACTTTTCGATCAATGTTTTCAGATTGCAAGTTTCGTATCTTAAGATGCGAGTTGTGGGTTTGATATCGGTTGAGGCGATCAACAATTATATTTTTTATTGTGTATTTCTACAATAAAGTATATTGTCATTTATTATTTAAGTCAAGTAGAATAAAAAGGTATGAATATAGGGCCGTGGGAAACTTTGCATATTTAGGACGTTGCGTGTGTCTGAGACCTGGAGACATTAACTAAAAACAAACTTTAATCTTGCTTAATTTTGAATATCCGCGATAAATCTATTTTACAACGAAATCCTAGTGCAGTAGTCTTGTTTACCCATTGATTAATTAGTTTTCAGCATTGGCAAAATTACCTTAATATAAAAGTAGCTGAACTTATTTCAAGCCAAAAGAATAAAATACGCCCGGCTCGAGGACAGAAAATGGCAAGGCAAATGGGAAAGGTGTATCTGTGGCGCAACACAAGTTGCCAGAGAAACTTTGTTGACGACTAAAGGATACAAATGAATTTATGTTTGCCCCTCTCTACGGCCAATTAAAAGTGCAAATTATATTTGCCAAAGCAAATGTAAAAGTTACCACAAAAAAGCTTACGCTAAATTTAAGCTACAATTTACCTTGCAGCTTGCAATTGTTGGCCAACCATTTCGAGCTGTAAGGTACTGTACACAAATGGTATAGCTGTACGATTTTTAACCAAAAGTGTACTTGTTAAAATTTTAACTTTAAGCTTAGTAGGTATACTTATGTATGTATTACTTATATACATGGGGAAATAACTGGATTCTATTATAAATTCTGAATTGAAATTCCTAGTAATAATTATAAGGTATAATAATAAAGTGCATAAAATAAATTGCTGGTCCTTAAAGTCTATAAAAAAATATAAAAAAGACCTAGTAATCAATGTGGTGGGAATGTGTCCCAGTTAGAGCTCGTGTCTTAGACAGGTGACAGCTGTCGTCTTAACTGACATTTCACAATATTATGTTGAGCAATGAGAAGGCTGTTCACTCACTTCCCTTCGCAGGAATTCAATTGTGACGCACACATCAAATGAACACACGAAGGGAAGAAAGCTAACATCGGAAAGCCGAAATCGGCATACCCTTCAAGTTAGTAACGAACGATGGGCCAGTTCATAAGGAAATACCTTCA